CAAACAGTGATGATTCAAATGATTCATGTACTACTATTACTTCTAGTGATGAAATAAATGAGTCCTTTGAGGAAATCTGTGTACAAAAAGAAATCAAAGTGAAAAAATCTGTTGAAGAAAATTCTGATAACATGAACAGGCTATTACCAGAAGAAATCAGTAAAGATAAGCAAAATAAAATGTCTGACCAAGGTAAATAATATACATTTTATATTTTTTGTTGTACATATTTTTAATTAGAAATTGTTTATTATGTCATTTGTCATTGAAATTAACTTAATGACCTCGATGGTTATGGTTACCTTATGATTTTAGAAAAACTCCAATTTATATTTGCTAATTTATACATTAATGCATCGATACAATCATCTTACAGATGTAATCACATTTATTTTTAATGAAATATGAAAAATATTCTCCAAGAGGCATTATTAACAACATTTATGAAATGTATTATAAATAATATATAAACTACAAATAATTATACATTCAGAGTTAATATAAATAAAAATATTAATATACACATCAGAGTTAATATAAATAAAAATATTAATATACACATCATATTTATATGTTAATATTTATTCTTATAAGTAAGGACAGGGATAATATTGCTCATTTTTAATAGTTCCTAGTTGCTTCTTTTCCCTCTCCTTTATTCCAACTATATGGGATCGGCCACCTTTGTCTGAAACCTCTACTCGTTTCAATTTTCTACGTTCTCTATGCACAGTTCTCTTACATCAACAGCCCTCATATAATTTTTAATTATGTCCAACCATCTCTTTTTTTGTCTTTTCTTTCTCTTTTCCCTTCAACATTAATTTGTGTAACCATTCATACTGTTTTTTGTTTCTTCTTGTTTCATCACATGTCTAAACCATCTAAGTCTATTATATCTCAACTTGTCAACTATCAACACTACTTTAATACTTTTCTTGTTACTTCATTCATCTATCTAAGTATTCTCATTTCCACAACACTCATACTTTGTTCTATTCTCCTGTCAACCGCCCAACACTCCAAACCATACAGCATCGTTGGTCTCACTACACTCATTTAAAATTTACTTTTCAGCCTCGTTGGAATTTTCTAATCACATAAAGCACCCGATGTTTATTTTTTATGAATAATTACTTAAACCGATTATTAATGTGTTTAAATTTAAGTATAATTTTGAAATAATTTAAATTTTGGGTTTTCAGAAAAATATAATAAATCTGGCCATTTTGTTTGCTGTGCATTTCTATATTGCGATACTATAGTACATGAACATGAGTTAGTTAATAATTTATATTGTAGTTCAACTTGTAAGGAGTTAGATTTAAAACATTGTGTAACTGTAGAAGAAACTTCACAGAAAGAAATGAAATATCCAACAAAAAAAACAATAATTGATAAAAAAGAACGTTTAGATAAATCAGAAATTAGAAAACATAAAAGAAAACAATTGTTAATATCTTCTTGTCCAGAAAAAATGGCTCGAAGTAATGATTGGGAAGAACTTGAACAGTTTTACAATTTTTGTAATGAATCTCCAATAAATGAAATTCAAACTCTTCCGAATTCGTCATGCCAAATAAGTTCTCCAGAAACAGAAATTGATGATAACAATGATTATGATTGTGGTGATGATGATGATGATGATGATGATGATGATGATGATGATGATGATGAAGAAGATTTATATGATGATTCTGATGATTCTGATAATGATATGGATCCAAAGGTATATTTTTATCAGTAAAATGTCAATTACAAAAAATATTTTTTGTAATTTATGTAAAATATAATATAAATGTACCATACTCCTTTTCAAAAAAGAATATACTAGGGTCTGTGAATAATAAATACCAATATAGTACAAACATATATTAGTCCTCTTCTATTGTTCATTCTCGCATGGCAGCAATGTTGGAGTTCATGTACAACTATTTAAAAAAGAGCAGCATTTTTTTATAGGTCCAGATGGTTTATTGGAGGAAGGTGCCTATCACCAGATAATAATTTGTCATTGCTTGATATATTCTCTTTTGAAACAGAGTATACTGTATGTGGGGATATGCTTAATTATTAATTATCGTAATATATATTGTGTTAATGAATGTTAAATATAATGTCTTATCATTAACTATATAATTTATACATACTTTAATTGTACCTGAATTATTTTTTGGTTGCTATAGAAATATTCTTAACCAGTATCAAATCTAATTATGCTTCATAAATTATTTTGTATTTCAGTTTTTAAAAGACAATGAAAACTCAAGAAAGTATTTGAATAGTATACCATTTATATCAGCTTCAAAAAAACTATTTGATCGACCTTTTCCTTCTAAAAAAAATTATTTCAAAGTAGGACAAAAATTAGAAGGAATTGATCCTGAACATGAAGCACTGTTCTGTGTAATGACTGTAGTAGAAGTTTGTGGTAATTATTTATTTAATTTACTTTTTTTTATAAAATTATTATTTTTATATTAACTAAATATACTTCATATAATTCTTGTGGTTGTACATGAAATAATTTTTATTAGGATATCGCATTAAATTACATTTTGATGGTTATTCTGATGACTATGATTTTTGGGTAAATGCTGATTGTCCAGATTTATTCTATCCTAAATGGTGTGAACATAATTCACGCATTGTACAACCACCAAAAAATTATGAAAATAATTTTGATTGGAATAATTACCTTAGGGTAACTAATACATTACCAGCTCCTATATGGAATTTTGTTTCTACATACAATTTAGGTGTAAGTATCATAGAAAAGATGTTGTGTACATTACATTTTCATTTTTTGTGATTGCATTACATTTGTTGTAGATGTACCCTTTTATTTATATAATTTGTATATTTTGTAAATAGAGTTGTAAGAAAAATAAATTTCAAATTGGAAATAAATTGGAGGCTCTAGATAAATTAACTCGTGTACTACCAAAACAGCTAATATGTGTTGCTACTGTTGCTGATATTTTGGGTAATCGTATACGTATTCATTTTGATGGTTGGTCAGATGATTTTGACTATTGGACGGATATCACATCAACTAATATACATCCAGTAAGATGGTGCGATAACAATGGCCGTATTTTGACTCCTCCTAATGGTTACAATGGTAATTGATTATATAAATTTCATTAATTTTTTTATTAAATTCTTGTAATTTCTTTAGACTTTAAAGGAAAAAAACCTTTTTCTTGGACTGAATACTTAAGAGAAACCAATAGTAAACCTGTACCAGAAAATGCCTTTGTTCGTAGACCATTACGAGATTTTGTAATTAACACTACAATTGAAGTAGTTGATCTTGTTGTTCCATCATTAATTAGAATTGCTAAAATAGTAGATGTCAAAGGCGATGAACTAAAAATACTTTATGATGGATTTGATAGCAATTATGCTTATTGGATTGAAGATGATAGTCCAGATATCCATCCTGTTGGATGGTCTCTAAAAACTAATCATCCTATTGAAATACCTCGTGGTAAAAATATTATTTAAAGAATTACAAAGCAATTTACATGTTGGTACATAATCCTTATAGATTATCAATATATAGGATATACATTATATGATATCAAGAAACAATCATATATACACTAAAAATCTTCATAATTATCCCTTGAATATACCCCAAGAAAATAATTTTGAATTATTAATAAAATTAACTTGAAGCTCTTTTAACTACTGTTAAACATTAAAAATATTCGGCTCTAAGATTTTTAAAGTATGTATTGATACTACCCTCATAACAAATCTGGAAAATCTGATAATATCAGTAATTTTTATTTAGAAATTTGAAATTCAAGGATACTCAGGGAAACAATAAGAAATACTGGATAAGAAAAATTATTTATTTAAAAATATAATAATAGTTTATTATAGTTTTAAATTTAAAGTTATAAGCAAATTAATTATGTATATTATACAGAAAACAATTTATGAGGTTAGTATTATTTGGAAAATTATGAAGGAACAATGTATTTCATGTCTTGATTACATTAATATTTTCCAGTCCATTGTTAAATTAAAATAAGAATTTTTTTTATCTTAAATATAACTTTATTTTGAAAAAAAAATACAATATATACATATATGTACCATAGGAAATAATTACGGGAGGATAATAAAAGTACAAGTAAATAATAATATAGGAAGTCTTACATTAAAAATACCTAGTGATTTAACATTTAAAATTTTTAATTCATGGCACCAGTATGGTTGAATTGTTTTATCTAGTTCCAGGTAATTCTAATGAGGCTAGATTCCGGATAAACTTGTTTGAGTTTTGTTTGGAAGCATTTATAGTAAAGAGTGACAGTTTTGTTATCACGGTGGGCTACCCTTATATTATGAATTTATTTAAATATTTATATTAAATCAAATTTTGCTCAGAATTATTTTTTATCCAATACTTGTGTATTCTTAATACAAAAACTTAACTTTGATAATATTTTTTGTTATTTAAAATCTAGCCTTTGTAAATGCTTGTATTAATATCTTATATATTTAAAATATAATTTAATGTAATTTATTTATAGTTTATTTTATAATAAGTACATTAGTATTTTTTTATATATATTTTTAATTTTATATATTTATAGAGAAAGAATGCCTCTGGAGTTGTAAAGTTATTGGTTGTAATGGTAAAGGTAATTCAAATAGTTTAACTAATAATCATATAATTGCTAAAGATTGCCCTTATGAATGGGATTCATGGAAAAAATCAGTTGCTGGTTTGTCGAAATTATCAGATAGATTGAAAAATGTTTCTTTTTCATGTGACACAGTAGTCCAAAGGTGAGTTTCACTTATAAATATTTTTTTTGACAATTTTTTATTAATTCAAGTGAAATTCAAATAGTTCAGATTCCCAGAGTAATAATAATATCACAGAGAAAAAAAAAGAAAATTCCATATCAAATTCAATGCATAATAGTCCACCTACATGCAAAGAAAGTTATATCAATAGCAAGTAATATAATAGATAAATAAAATTTATCTTTATTTTGTATTCTTCGCATTTTATTAAAAAATATTCCATTTAAATAGATCAAATGAACCAATAGTTTTGAAAAATATTGAATTTGAAAGCAGAAATGAATTTAAAAAGTTACTTGTTAATGATATTGAAAATATGAATCATAACAAATTACGTAAAGACCTTAATTTATCAATCCTGGGGCATGATATAGGCACCTTTTCATTAGCCAAACAAGGTAGAGCATGGACTAGGCATAATGCTCAACTAGGCATACCAATATTTACTACCAATGATGCTAGAAAGTGGTCTGTTCAAGATGTTGCTAGTTATGTTGATCAAATTGTAAGATCTAATAGCTCTAATCGTACTACTAACGAACAAATCAGTATATCTCAACGTTTTATAGATGAAGTAATTAATCAATTAATTTGTATTGCCATTTAATCAAAAAATGTTAATACATTTTTTTTTTTATGTAGGATGTTGATGGTGAGTCGTTTTTAATGTTAATTCAAGAAGATCTAACAAAAATATTAAAAATTCCACTTGGTCAATCATTAAAAATAATTAATGCCATTGTAATGTTAAGACAACGAGTTCCTGGATTTGAATTGAATGAAAGTTTTTTTTACTAAAAATAAATAAATTTCTTATTTTTTTTTTTTAATAATTTGTATTTATTTTAGTAATATTCATTTGAAAACTTAAGCTATAATTTATTGTAAATTTGAGTTTAAGTATTTAAATGTGTCTTTGATTAATGATAGTTACCTCTATAATTTTATGTTGTGTAATAAAAGTGATGGTTATTAATGTTAAGTTTAATCTACTTTTTTCTAATATTTTTGCAATAAAATATTAAAGTCTTCAATACAAAACTGTCCAGTGATCAGTTGTTAGGACTAGTGGCCTTTTTTAATAAGTGATTACTAAACACGTAAAACTAATTGTTACATTTATTTTAAATTTATTTATTCCTTTAATATAAATTAAACTATTATATGAGTCATGAAAGCAAAAAGTTTAAAAATGAATATTAAGCATTGTTTTAATACATGTATTATTATAAAATGTATTAAATCTAAATAATAATTATTAAACAATCAAAAAAAATTTTTATACTCAGTAAAAATTAAATATACTTCCTACTATTATAAAAGGTGTTTTATTATGAATGCCAAATTAAAATTGACCGGTTACTTTTATTTCGTGCTTAGGTTAACTTGTTTTTTTTTTTTTATTTATCAGTTATCTCTGAGCAATGAGATACTGTGAAAGTTTTTGTTTTATTTTGTTAATATTACTATGGTGTTCGTCTTAAGGTACGTTTTCCTCAGTATGATGGTCGTGCATCGATAGTCATTGCGCATTATTTATATGCATATCATATCTAGCTTTTTTGTTTCGAGCGATTGTCACTAAAGTCGTTAACAACGGTTGTACGCCTTGAATAGTCCTTTGGGAGAAGGGTGGATATAATCACAGAATAATATAATCGTTAACGTTTATTATTGTTTGTTGTAACTTGTGAATATGTCATTTTGAAAACAAAGTGTACCATGGGTCATTCATTTTCTGACGTGTATGATGAAATTCTTCTCGAAAAAGTGGCTAATCATCCCTCACTTTGGCTGACATTGCCAATAGATTTGGAAAATCTACAATAGAGAGATGAAAAATGAATTTATTTGTTCATTGTTTTTAAGGTACAATTTTTTTTATAAGGTACTTATCTAATATTTTCTATACTTTATATTTATATATTAGATAGCTACTTATGTTGCTTGTTTTTAAAATTGAATAGTAGAGCATTTGAAATTTTCTGGTGGTTAATATCTTAGTTATAGAATATAGGTATGTGCTAGGTATTTATGTTGCTGTTTTTATAGTTGAATTTTCCATTTGCTAACATTAAGGTAACTATAATTTATAGGTGCTCTAGTCAACATAAATCAAACACAGTGGACAAGTTCAGGCCTATTAATTCACCCTGATGACTCTTCAAATATTTTAACATCATTTCTACTTGAACTAAAAGAAAGAGTTATTCGAGGTCCATATCAGCCAGATATTAAATTATTTCCTTGTACTAAAATAGGTCAAAATTATAGAAGCTTCCAAAAAAAGTGGTATGATTGTTTTAAATGGTTTGAATACAGTGTATCAAAAGACAAAGCCTTTTGTTTTTCTTGCCTTATGTTTTTAAATTCTGGATCAAATTTAAGACAGGATGATACAAATTTCTCTAAAACTGGATTTAGTAATTGGCATGTGGCAACTACAATTTTCAAAACTCATCAGATGTCTAAATCGCACATTTATTTTTATTTTTAGAACCTTTAGTTATTAACTATTACAGTTCAACAATTACAAATAGTGATTACATAAACCAATTAAGAAATTAAAATAACATTGAGGCAATAGCAATTGGTTATAACTAAGCGTTAAGTATACAAAAGGTGTTGATAAGAAATAATGATTATTAATTTGGATTCGGGAAGATATAATTAAGGAGAGACGGTATTCTTAGATAGTAATGAGTTTCAGAGTGTGGATAAAAGTGAAATTAATGGAGTAATGAGGGAATGTAATTGTGTAACAAATTGAGATAAAATATTTGATATAGATTCGTTATTAGAATTGTTTGAGTTGCTTAAAGTTGCTTCTGCGTATGTTTTGGCCCTGGATTTGTCTTTGTGTCGGGTGTGCGTGGACAGGGACTCCACTGTGACTGGCAAGATCATCTTTGAGGGCACTAATGGTGGTACAGGTGGTGTGGTCTTGAGGTGACCATTCGTATGATTCTTACGATAAGTGTTCATAAATTTCTTTAATGAAGGACAACCTTTAAAGTTCGCGGTATGTGCGCCAGATCATAACGCACACTTTGCAGGTAGTTCCGAAGATTTGACACAGTCCTTGGTGAAATGGTTGTTGCTGCATTTGACACAACGTGGTGATTCGCTACAGTAGGAGCGAGTATGACCGTATCGCTGACAATGTTTGCATTGAAGAGGGTAACGAGATTGATGCGGATTTTCGACAACTATTTTGGAGTTAAGGAGAGAGGATATTTGGAAGATACTCCGGTTAAAATCCCTTGCTTCTAGGACAACGGTGAAAAGAGATAGAGCTTGTTTACTAATTCTGTGGCGGATGTTTAGCACACTTATGATTGAGAAGCCCAAATCTCGGAGGGCCTTCTCTATATCTTCAACAGGAATAGTATAATGCAGATTACGGATAAAAACTTTAAAAGGGCGGATATGACGGGGTGCCCACGTATGGCATTCTAAATCCGATTCGTTGCAGTAATCGACTAGTTTATTGTAACCATCAAAATTATGAGGTTTGATAATAAGAGAGGAACCCTTGGCGGTAGCCGTAAAGCCATCGGTACTCACCAGAGATATTAGATCTGCTTTTAACAAGGAGTAGTTAGTAACATTACTTATGACTAGGGCCAACAATTATATGCCCTAAAAATCAATAAAATATGTATGCAGTTATGCTCTAAAAATTTCCAAAATATGCCCTTAAAATATGCTCAAAAAAAAAATGTTATTGTATAAAAATGATTAAATGATTTATTTTTTTATGTATTATACAATTTATACTATAATTCAATGTTATTGTATATATTATTTATTGCCAATGAATAATGATTTACAAAAATGTGTGATTTTAAGAAATATTAAAAATTAAAAAAACAAAAACATTAATCAGATGATAAACATTTTTAATTTTTACCCGATGTTATTACATTGAACAATTAATGATTTGAATACATTTTCAAACAGCATTGAGCGTCGATTGTCCGTTAACAAATTTTTGTAGCGTGAAAAGGAACGTTCTACATCAACGGATATAATAGGTGCGTATTTATAATGCAACAAATCGTTACTGGTCAAATCTGGGATACCTTCTAATGTGGATACATCACCGGATAATACTTTAGAAATTTTCGTAAGAATATGAAAACCATTATTTTTTTAAAAAACATCTTTACATTTTTTGTTAATATCAGTGCCATTTGTACCACTAACTTCACATATTTTACTTCGCGCAGTTTCTATTAATTTAATTGAGTCTGCTAGTAAAACATTCTGGCTTTCTAAAGATGTTATGGTAGTTGGTAAAAATCCATAGTTTGAATAAGTAAAAGTTAAATTTGCTTCAACTTGATCTTTAGAAATTAATTTTAGAACTTTGTCTATTGAAACGGCGTCTTCAGGGTTCAATTTCTGTATTACATTTCGAATAGCTTCTATATGTTCGCAATAATACATTGAAGCAGAAATCCATGTACCCCATCTTGTTAATATAGGCGTTGGAGACAATGGTATACCTAGAGCCTCAGTTTTAAACAAATCAATACGACTTGACGCTTTTAAAAATATTTTTTTTTGTGTTTAAGACAAGTTCGTCAATTTTTGGAAATTGACCACGAATTTTTTCTGCCACCCGGTGTAGGCCATGGGCCACACAAGTAACGTGAACCATTTTTGGATAAAAAGCTTGTAAACAATTAGTTGCCTTGACCATATAAGGAGCGGCATCGCTCAAAAACAAAAGTACATCAGGATGTCGGATTCCATTAGGCCATAATGTAAAAAGAGCTTTATTTTTTTTTTGACATATTGTAGAGTGGTTGGTTTTTTCGAGAATACCGGAAAAAATTAAAAATATTTTACCTGGTTCATCGACGTTTAAAATACCAATAATTACGTTTGCAATATATCGAGATTGTACGTCAGTAGTTTCGTCGATCGAAATCCAGATTTTCTTATCAAGCACTTCTTTTCTTATGGCGTCCATTGTCTCATTATAACACTCATTGACATAGGTACTTCTTAATAAAGATACTGATGGAATATCTTTATACGTATACTTTTCCAGAAACGAACGAAAATAGGTATTTTGTAATTTATTTAATGGTATATTGGCTGCTAACAACGTTTTGCACAAATCTTTATTGAAAGAATTAATTTTTGATGTAGTAGGTAAAAGTTGTTGAGTCTTTTATTGTTTGTCGCCGAGTCGTTGAATACCACGTGAGTGCTTGAACGTTTTAAGATGTTGTAAAACTGTAAATCGTTTTTCACATGTAACCTTTGCCTCACATATTTTACAAAACAATATATTCCCATCCGAAGAAAATATATTTTCTCCAAATTCAGAGATGTAACTATTGATACGATTAGTGTTGGAAGTTCTCACTTTCGGCATTTTAAAACGATCGATTTAATAACGCACTGCACGAGTATGAAAATGAATGTTAAGTTTAAATCACTTAAAACTTTGTCTACAACAAGATGGGCTTGTCGAGCAGAAGCCATTCAGGCTGTGAAAAATAATTATTCAGTCCTCCTACAATGCTTGGCAGAGATTTCGAAGACTTCTAATTTATCGGAAATTAAAGTAAAATCAAGTGGCCTTTTAAAACAAATGAAAACATTTAATTTCATATTTTCCCTTAACTTGCTAAATCTAATACTACTTTTGGTACAAAAATAAGTTCAACTTTACAATCGATCTGACTTGGACCTTTTACGAACGTATTTACCAATAACTAATAAGTAATCACTGTTACCCAGTGGCGTAACCAGGATTTTTAAATGGGAGGGGTTAATTACTTTTTTGGATAAGTAAGGTAAGAGAGGATATGAGAATTCACCCTTACCCCCCACCATCTACCACCAAGTTTTTAAATATAATTCAAGCATTTTAATAAAGTTTTAAAAATATTTATTAATATATAATTTATAATAATAATAATAATTTTGGTTTCAGTCTTCAGTCACTTGCTCCACTCTGACAGCTGCATCCTCTAAGGCATAGATTCTTAACCTTTTCTTAGTCATGGACCCCTTTAAAGCGTAAAATAAAATCACGGACCCTCCTGCAAAAAAAAAAAATATATGTGTAGGTAAATAAATATAATTTTTATTATACGGCAACGGGTCAACAGAAGTGATAGGTTTCAGTGTTAAATTGAACTGCTCGTTAGATTGTATTGCCATGTTATATTATTTTACGATTACGATAGCTTTTTATGGCATATAAGATTATCGTAATCTAAGTTTTATATTTAAAAACATTGTTGTCTTTCAAATGGCTTTCGAATGTTTTAACAATCATAATTATTTTAAAAATACTATCAAAACAAATTTATTTTGGCTTATTTCAAAAAAAACTCACAGCCACCCCGTGGACCACCGAGTAGTCATCTACGGACCCCCAAAGGGTTCATGGACCCCGGGTTAAGAACCTATGCTCTAAGGCGAATTTCTGGCAAATTCAGTTATTATTTCACTTTCATCGAATTGCTCTTTTTTATTTATAATAGCCATAGCTAACCTATTCAGTCTATTTTCCGACATGGTATTTCTTAAAAAAAATTTTAAGCCATTAAGTGCAGAAAACGAGTATACCACAAAATAAAACTCCTTTCGGTATTTTGGTGTAATCGGTGCTTAGTTATCGAGTGATAGTTGATATGACTGATACAGTGATACAACTACAGACTAAGGAACGATTTGGTTTTGGACCTATTGCACCTAAAAGGAACGAATAGGTGGAATCATTCCGATTCGTTCTTCCTCTGGACTCGTTCCAAAGGAACGATTCGTTCATGAACGACCCATCACTATTCTGAATAGACTATAGGTATACGTATATTAAATTCCAGGCGTAAGCATTGGGCAGTGTGTCACCTAGTATCGCTGGTATCACCCAGTCGTCGGTTATATAGAAAAAAAAAGTTAATCGTTATAAAATGGATTGGTATTATTTGAAATACGTTCATTTTTATGTTTTCTGTGTAAATAATTTTACAATACCTTTTCTTCCTTTATAGAATATGTATATTTAAAATTTAAAACATACATACGGTAATACTAAGTGTTTATTATTCCTTGTTTCACTTCCCACAAAAAAAAAAAAAAAATATCTTTTTCAAAATTATCTAGATAATTTATCTTAGATAAGCATTTTATTTAAAAAGATGGATAAAAATATACTTAAAATTATTATTATCAAGATAAGATAAAAAGATTAATGTTTTTATCTAGATAAATTATCTAGATAATGTACAACACAGCACGTAGCTGGATCCGCGATCGTTAACAGCACGTGCTCATCCGTCGGATTGTTGATTGATCTCTCTGGAGCCCAGGGTTGCCAACTATACAGTTAAGAAAATCGAGACTTTTTCCAATACAAGAACATTTTTTTCAGGTTTTAAAATATATTGTAACGGCAATATAACATATTATAATATAAGGTATAAGTACATAACACAAATATATTTTCTCTATATATGTATATACTTATATGTAAATAGTGTAACTACAACCGTGATATTTACTAACTAGCTGAATTACCCGGCTTCTCCCGTGTATAGTTTTTGCTTTCTCAAAATGAAATTGTTAAATCATCACACATTTTTGTGTTTTAAAGAAGAAAACTATTTATTTTACTTAATGTTATCAAGTGCTAAATAGTAATAGTAGCTGAATTATAAATAAAACAAAAAAATTAATAATACGAGTAATATTTACAAATGACTCTTTACGTAGTTGCTGAATTCTAATATGGCTTAAGTCAAAAACCTCTTGGTATACCACATTCTGAGTTTTATTTTGTGGTGCATAAACGTATAAATGGTCAGATCCTCCAACTCTAAACAATGTCACATACAATTGCCCATGTGAAAAACAGTTATTTTCCAAATCTACACCACAGTAAGTTAAAGTCTGACCTTAAGCTTTGTTTATTGTTATTACAAAACAGACTTTTATTATAAATTGAACTCTTCTAAACTTAATTGGAAAATCGTTGGGGTATAATGGTATTTTCGGTAAAAATATTTTTTCTCCCTTAGCACATCCGATCAAAATTTCAGCTTCAATTATATTTTTTGTAAGAGAGGTTACAAGGAGCCTAGTCCCATTACATAATCTAGGAGAATTAAAATTTCTCAATAATATGATTGGAACTCCCACCTACAGTGATATTTTATAAAGAGGCATACCAGATGGTGTTTGTGAATTTAAAAACTTGGTAGGAAAATGTACCGATTCTTTACTATTAATAACTATCAATAGAAAAGTAATCCATATCTAGTGCATGAAATCCACTAATTATTTGTGAGTTTATTGAGTCATCTTGGTTATTTGTGGTTGTCAAAATAACGCGGTTTTCCATATAATACTATGTAAGTCATATTAATCGGTCAACTGCTATTGTTATAATATGAATATAAATATACAAATTACATGTAAAATTTTTTTTACCGATTTCAACCTTTTAAAATCAAAATTTTGAAAATCGAGTAGTGTGATGATACTTAGGAAGTTATTTGGAACAATTCTGTAAAAAAAAATTGGAAAAAAGTTAAATAGTGTCGTCACAAAATGGGTACATAAAAAAGACCTGTTCTTTTAAATGTATATAAGGATAAATGTTAAAATACCATTCTATAAAATTTTTTTTTTAGAGTTTTATCGTTTGTACAATCGTACAAAAATATATATTGGTATGTATTGGTATGTATATTCTTATGTTCCGGGAAACATGTGTCCGAATAAACTTTGATTGGGACGCGGGAAAAAAAACGGCTGTAGCCTATTTGCGCCCCAGAGTAATACATTTGCGTCCTCAGGGATGTAGACAGATGAGCCCGAAAAATAAGATACTATCTACCTTATTTATTTATTTATGGCCCATATGCGCCCATTTTGCATACAACGTTTCCATTGTGATTTATAATTTGGATTATTTTTTTCTTGATAAATACTTAAATTAAGTAGATCAGTATACGAGTAATATACTATTATAGTACTTTAATAATAATTATCTTAATAATATAGTTTAAATTTTATAATTTTTTCAACATTTTGGGTTTCAAAAAATTAGTCAATATGACAATAACGAGTAACTCAATTATTTTAACTCGATTATGCCCATCACTATGTACAATATTTTTAACTTTATAAGGTCAATAAATAGCATGGCTTATATTCCAGAATACAATTTGGCAACGTTGCACGGGTTTAACACATTTTTTTAAAAATATATTGGGCGCAAATGGTGTTCACTGAAAAAAACCTAAAAATCATGAATATCCCGCTAAAATCGGAATGGTTGGCAACCCTGCTGGAGCCTCCAGTCCCACAATTTGCCAATCGAGATAAAGAAGAGCAGTGACAAATTTATCTATTATACATTCTTTTTTTGTCAATTGAAAACAAATTTGGGTTCCATAATTATAATAATAGATATTTCATTAAAAATACTTATTAATTATAATAAAACAATATTGCCTTAATCATTATTTTTTTCGTAATAAAATATAAATAAATAAAAATACTTTTTGTATTTTATTAAAGAAAATATTTATTTTTTACCAACTTCAACTGTTTTTTAAAATGTAAAAATTTTAAATATTTATTTAACGAAATTGATCATCCATATTTCACAACGTCCATCTTTTAGAAAACAATGCTTACATAGACGGGGAAAATTGTTCTGATAATTTGCCACATATTTCCTGGCATTTTTAACTACATTTTTTTTATAACATATAATCTATAAGAAAAAACACTTTTGTAATAAGCTAATATGTAAGAACATAATTAATCAAAGAATGACGTTTGAATAAATCATAATATATTATTTATTGATGGTACTTATATATATATTATGTATACTATGTTTACTACCTACTTTTTTTTTATAAAATATAAATAAATAATAAAATTATTGAGTCAAAAAAATAACAAAGCTGAAATTATATTAAAATTCTAACTCTTATGTTGGCTTTTATTCAGGGGCGGATCCAGAGTCAGGGAACTGTGAGTCAAGCCATTACAATAGGTCATTTATTAAGGATGAAACTAAATTAGAAATTAATACCATGTAAAAAAAAAAAAAAATACAATATGCTCGTAAAAGTGTATTAGTATATTTATATTACATTTTAGAATTATTGATACTACCGATAATGACTTATTTACGATTAATAAATACAATCTAATTTTATCAGCGCAACAAACGTACGGAATATAATATGATTTGCTTAACTTTCTACTAAAACGATATAATTTAAAATATAAATTAAGAATTGAAGATTTTTAAATTTTGAATATACATGGCATTCATTTTTCAAGTAACTCCGTGGGCCAACTGTCCAAAAGTCCAAATCAACGTCTAAAAAGAGAAAAAAATTTCCAAGAGACCAATTTTGTCAACAAATATTAACTGTGGGTCAGCTGACCCCCTGAACCCCCCCCCCTAGATCTGCCCCTGCTTTTATTAGTTATAAGTTATAACTTATAAGTCTTGTACAAACGACAACATTCAATGAAATTATTTGAAACTGCCATATTTTTATATGGTCGGTACAGGAATCAAAGAGTATAATATACTACTCAATCGCACATCCATAGATGAGAATACCTATAAGAACCATAGACGCAACTAGGGTAAAAAAATCTGGGAGGGTTACAGTCCTCCAACAAAAACTTGAAATATCCTGTAAATTACCCCTACTCTTATATACCATGTTATTATATTTTAGATTCTCAGCTAAATTGGATTTATTGCAATGTGTCTTTTTTTGTATGTGACACTATTGTGAGTTAAGTATACTGAATGCGGTTTGACATGGAATATTTATCCCCCCATAAATATTCCATGTCACAAATATTCTCCCCGGCTAAGCCTCCCTAGTTGCGCTTATGATAAAAACACGATTCTTTTGTTATAATATATAGACGGAAAGCGTACAACCGTGATTGTAATAGGTGTTTTAATGTTGCACGGTGAATAAAATTACATTTTAAGTTTCAAATTATTATTTTTATCATAATGAAATAATTATCTAAATAAGTATAAAACGCATAAATATAAAATTTTATCTGCTTCTTTATGAGCTTACTATTTACGATATTGAACGAAATATTTTGTCATGACAACAAAATAATAAATGTTTTATTTGGCATTTTGAAAATTTACATTATAATTAAAATATATTGATATTCGATAATATTAACACAAAAACCGTTTAAATTATCTGTTTTGATGAATAGTGGTTCAATATTTGAGCTTTAAAGTACAATGTACATCTCAAATTCGTATAAAATTAAATAATGCAAAAGTTGTCAAAACTGTGTTCTTTATTGTTACAAAGCCTTGATTAAATATAGTTTATTTTCGAATCCATATCCAATTTTGACGCTGGCATACCAGTTCTTATTGACATTACCCGTAACACAAGTTGTGCGTGAAAGATTATTTTTAACATTAAAGTATATAAAAAAACCGACTAAGAAGTACAATGAGCAATGAACACTTAGAAACATTCATGTTAATGGCCATCGAGAAATGGGTATTAATCGAACTTAATAATGACGGAATAATAAACTTCGTTGGGGAAAAGAGTAAATTATTAAACAAATCATTATTATAAGTAAAAATAACATAATTATTATTAAAGCTAAATTAGTTTGACCTTTGAGTTGAAATCTTAATTTTATTAGAACATAAAATATTATTATAATACTATACAAAAACAATTTGAGGCTTTAAGTTGTATTAATAGTTTTATCAATAAAATACATAATACACAATATATTTTAATATTTATTATTTATACACATTTACACACTAAATTCAATCGATAAATAGAAGAAATAAAATTTCTATTCAAGAGATGAAAATTTGTGTGACCTGGATAAAATTTATTTTCCTGCCTCAATAATATTCCACTCCGTCCCTGTCTTAATTGTCTTAATGCAAAACATTTTAGAATAATTTAAATTCAAATTTAGTAACATTATTGGCTATGACATATTTTTAGTTGGTTACACTATAGAATATATTTATGTTACCTCTGTGGTTATACTGATCTGATAACAACGAAGATAACGTACAATGTTCGAAATGTTTTTAATTTTTAATATAAATTAAAAATAATATATTGTGCATTTTGTTAAGTGCTTACCAATTTTAATAACAAACTATTTTGTTTCTCTATTTTTGATCATGTCAATAATTTATTGCCGTTCCTTTTTTAACATTTGATGTTTTCTGAATATCAAATGAATGAAAAACATTATCTGAATGCTTTATTTCCTTGATTGAAAGTGTGAACAGGTGCACTGTTAAATAATAACTACCATTATGAACAATCAAGATATAGTGGTAAGTTAAAGTGTATATGTAATACAGATAGGATTCTTAAATATATAGTTAACAATGATCGATTTTATTGATTTTAAGGTGTATGAAAACGAAATGAAAAATTATGAAATGATGCTGAATGAGTTTTATGATCAAAATTCAAGTAATACTGTAAAATTATGTTTACAAAAAGAATTTGATAAATTTGGAGAACGAGATAAATGTTGGGTGCAGTGTTGTTATAATTTGGAGAATAGTAAAAACCAATATTTATTGATGTTTAGTTTGAATATTATGGAGGTAAAATTGTACTGTTTTACTTTCAAATATGAATTTAATTTATAAGATATTTGTTGTATCTAGATGATTATTAACAAGAAATGGGAAAAAATTACTTTCAAATCTCAAGAAACTTTAAGAGAAGCCATTTTTAATCATATTGTAATGAAACATAATGAGTATCCAAAATTTATGATTAGCAAAATGATAAAGTTATTAGTTGATATAGCGCGTAACGATTGGCCTTTGAGATATCCTAATTTTATTGAACATATTGCAAGAGTAAATGAGCAGTATAAATTTATATATAACATATACCTATATAAATTGTTTAATAAATTGTAATTAATTTTATTTTTTAGTTGCTCTTAAATCCTGAACAAGTTCTTTTGGGCTTATCTTTTTTACTTTTATCATCTGAAGAATTTATAAGTCCTAAAGAAGATCTTTTAGGAAAGAGGAAACATGAATTGAAAGTAAATTTTTTGAAACATATTCCTAAGTTGTTTGAAATACTTTCAGGTAAATAAATTATTATGATATTTATTAGTGTTCAATTTAATTAATAAATGTAGTGACTAATAATGTTTTTAATAAAATTATTAAATATTTTCAGAAATATTAAAAAATGCCCATAAAACGTCCAACTCTGATGAAATATATGAAGCTGTTACAAAAGTATTTTCTGATATGTTTACATGGCTTCCATTTGAAAAGCATTTGACTCCTGATTTATTACAAGTGCTTATGCCTTTGGGTAAAAAAGAGGTATATATCTATCATTCATAACAGTCATGATTAAATATTAATTGATAACTTTTTTAATTTTTTTAGGATGCTACAGCTATTAATACATTGACTATATTTAATGAAGTTCTAAGTAAATCATATACTCAAACAGATGATAAATACTTTATTTTGTCCGAGTTATGTCTATATACATTCCGTTTAATTGAAAATATAATTTCTGTTCCTGAAATTGGTTTTGTGAGTGAAGCGTAAGTTTTCAATAACACAAATTGTTTTTCTTTAAATTTGTATGTCACACATATTTAATTTAAATAAATATTTTATTTGTTGCAGTTATTTGACAATTGTTACTGAAATTCTTTCTGTAGTTATTAGAAAATATTGGAACTTTCTGGATAGTCATTTTAATAATGGTGAATTCTTAGAATTACTGTTACAGTATACATTCCGACATGTTGTTTTAGATTGTTATTATCAATGTTTGGATATTTGGGGTAGTATTTTTGAAGCATTATCTGATCGTCCTGAATGTGTTGAAAAGTTACTATCATCATTTATATTTAAATTGTTTGTCAGTTTATAAATATTTATTTATTTTAGGTATCGTCGTATATTTTTGGATCTTGTTGAGCGAGTAACACACAAAATTAATACGTTTGGCAATATAAATGATGAAATATATGATGATGATGTAAGTATTTGCATAAATATAATAATAGTTTACTCTGTAGCTTATGCCTATGTTGGACTGAATTATTGGCAAATATTTTTGATGCTAGAGTGGATAATTTATTGATATGATAAAACTAAAAAGTACCTTAAAACAGTCTAATTAGATATTTCTACATTTGTTGAATACACAGATTAAAATTTTTATTTGATCTTAAGAAAAGATTGATCTAAATAAAAACATCTTTTTAATTTTTTAGTTTTATTTAGCAAATTCAGGGCTTATTCTAAGGATTTTTTTCTACTGTCTGAAAACTAAAGTTGAGTGCCTTGTATACCTAGATGAAAATCTAATCGCGATTGTAAAATATATATTATGTTATGCAGGTGTATTCAATTTGGGTAATAAAGGGCCTCTTTTGATTGAAAATAAAAATGAATAAATGAAAATTGTATTTTTCATGTTTATATAAATATAAAATGATAATATTTTACTATTATGTAGAACTAAATAGTATTTCTGCTTTTCAATTTTTAAATACCTTACTTGTACTGTTGTAGGGTACCCATTGTTGTAAGTTTATAGAGCCAACTACCCATTAGAATAAGGCTTGTGTAAATTAAATGTTTTCAATAAACATATTTACAATTTATTTGTATGCTTTTAAAATATTGTATTCTAATAATAATTAAATATATAGACCTAGGCAGAGCCTGATTTAAGAGGGAAATTATGGGAACGTGCCCATAAATTTTGGGGGCCTCCAAAAGTTGTAAAAAATAGTTAATTTTTAAAAATTAAAAAAATATAGTATTTATTAAATAAAAAAAACGTGAACATTTTTTAATATCTTATGAAAATATTTATGTAATTCGTAAAATTTTGTCATTTTATGTATAATATATAATATAATATGTATAATATTTTAGTATTTGTAGAAAAAGACTTAATGATTTATTGAATATAATATAAACTGATAAGAATATAAAATCTATGGGCCTTTAATTATTGTTTTCTCTGCGCTCTCAAAGTATAAATCTGACTCTGGGCCTTGGTAAAACATTTTTTGAGAAAAAATATAAAAATCTGTTGAAATTAATAGTTGAGAATTTATGGTATGGAATTAATTATAAAAAATTTGGTGAATTCCTTAGGTAGATTGTTCATATAAATGGTGGTCAGCAAAAATTACTTTAGTTATGATTGTCTTTACAAAGTTTAAATAGATAATTACACGTTTCTCACATATTTACCTTTTTAAAAGTCATTATTTTTTATATTGATTTCAATAAAACTCGTTTTATAGGGACAAACTGAATGTCAAATATTTTTGAACAAAAATATTGAAATCATATCTAATGTAGCAAATCTTTATCCAGCAATTGCTGTTCCTGTGGTTAGTATAAAATATGTTATTTTAAGCTAGTATTGTTATCCATTTATTCCATTAACCCAAATAATTATTGTTTTAGGTTGATAATTGGAAAGTCTATATAAATGATTATATTACTATACTAAATTCACCTATGTTATTGGAAAACTTTAAGGATTCTAAGTGCATGTTCTTAGTTCCATCTACAAGGACTTTAACAAGTCTTAGTGGTTATTATGAAGACTCAATGAAAATAGCTATCACAAAAATGCTCAATGACATTGCTATTCAAGGTGTTGCTACAACTCCACTTTACCAGTTGCCTGTGGCATTATCAACCACAAAAACTCTGATTCAAATGTTAGACATTATTTAAATTTACTATTATAATAATTTTATTATTTATTTAAAAATTTTTCTGATCTTCTTGTTCTTGGTGTTGGTTTGTTACATTTAAGTTTACATTACTATATTTAATTTTAATACACCAATGTATACTATATCATGAAACAAATGTAATAATAGAAAAGTAGCTTAATATTTAATTAAATTTTTTTTAGTCAAAGTGAAATACTTACTGCATTATCAAGGTGGATGCACTTATTAAACAACAACAAACAGTTTTGTTTAGAACAAAATCGAGAAAAACTATTTTCTGTTTTGGTTACATCATTACAAGATACAAGCCAACCTACTCAGATACATGATGCTTGTGGAGTTCTATTGCCAACTGTTACTGAACCTATGCTTATTCATATTAGTGAATACACATCATTGCTAGAACAATTGTTATCTCCTTTCTTAGATGGTTCTATAACACTCAATCATTTAAATAAAAAGGTATAGTTATTACATTGATTTTTTTTTTTTTTTTTAAATTCTAGGCCAAGCAAAAAATATTCTTAAATTTTCTGATCAAGTTTTGGGTTGTGAATAAGTACCTAAATGCACATATACTAAATAAATAAATTGAAGATATATCTTAGACGGAAATTTTTTTTCATTTTATTAGTATTTTATTCTTAGGTTAATGAAAATTAGAAAAAGTACATTGAATTCTGTAAAGCAGATATTTATAATTTTTGTAATACATGTTCTTAATTTTGTGTCTTAAAATTTCTGATTTTAATCAAATTTAAGTGATATATTTTAGTAATAATTTTAATCGTTTAATTTCTAGAATATTGTTAACGAATGTTTTTCATATTAATATAATTGTTATCATTTCTTATGATAAACATTTACAATTATTACAGTCAGCCTATGTTTAAATAAATAAGTTGTTTCATTATTGGTTTTTTTTTGGTAATTTTATTTTTAATTGTTCATTACAGACTCGTTTATCAGTAAGAGTTACATCTCTTAAGTTTCTTTTGACCTGCCCTAGTCAAGAAGAAGAAATTAAAGTATTGGTGCTCATGAATTATTTAAAGTCATTAGCACCTTCAGGGTTAAATGATTTAAAGATGCTAACTGATGTTCTTGTCAATAGTGGACCTTACAAAATGTCTACTAGAAGAATAATTTATCGCTCAGTAGAAGTAGCTATATAAATTATTTATTTAAGATAACATGAATTTATATTTGTATTTTAAATGTTATAGCCGTGTTTAATTGAAGCTGTAACACATTTGAAAAATGATATGCAATCAGAAACCTCTCTTAATCCACAAATGGAAATGTGTGAAAGAGTAATAACATTTTTATCAGAAATGTATGAATTGTTACATGATACAATGTCACCTCAATTTGTTCAAGTACTTATGCAAACATTTGTTGATTTAGACCTGTAAGTATTATTATATAAATAAAAATAACAAAATGATAATTATATGTATGTATATTTTTTTTAGGATGTGGTCTGTTAGTACAATGTTAACAATCAAAATGCTTGATGTTCTGTCATTAATTATCAAACATTCCTCTAAATCAAATAAAGAATTTACTTCTGTAGTAATTAAATTAGGGTTGGAGAAATTAATTCCTTTAGTGGCTTCTAATTGCTATCCTCCAACAGTTTCTGCACTTTTTAATTTGCTTTATTGGTAAAGCTATATTTAAAAATAATACATATACTATTTGAACCTAAAACTTACTATTTCAATTTAGTGTTTTAATGTACAAGTGGCGATATTTTTTTCCTGCATCTCCATCTTTAACTATGCACTCAAATAATGAAAACAACATTGATAATTCTGAACAGTTTACAACAATTTTGGAAGTTATTGGATACTCATTTATGACAAATGATATTAGCATTTTTTCACAAAACTTAAAAGCTATTGAAGAACTGAATACGAAATGGAATTTATATGCAAAGGTTACTAATATAACATTAAAATAATTTGATATTGAAATAACTCAGAAGTATTCGTTTTTAGGAATATTTCAAACATTATTTTCTTAGCAAGTATATGACTGTATTATTGAATGTTATGGTTAACAAAAGTCATACTATACTTTCGGATGAAATATCAATGGCTATTTATAATATGGCAAGTGTGGACTTTGACTATTTTTTTTCAAAATTTTTACCTGATTACTTGAAACAAACCGACAATATACGTAATGATCAGCGACAATTTTTGAGACAAAAACGCATGCTACCAGTCAAAGTAATTTGATTACAATTTAATATTATTGTTTAATAATAAGACATTGTTTTAAATATTTCATTTTTCGTTTAGGAACTTCCAACATTTATGGTTAATCTTGCCCAACTAACAAATGACATAAGATGTTCAAAACAAATTTGAAATAACTTAAAAAAGTAAAATGACTGATTTTTATTTTATTTTTACCATATATTTTATCTTTAAATTAAAAGTAATTTGTGGTTTTAAGGTTATTTTAATAATTAAGTATTGAGAATTATGATTATTTTTTATGTATTTCAATTACTATTATAAATAAAATGTTTTAATTTTAAATATATCTATCTGTGTGTAAATGATTTCAAACACTATATTTAATAATTAATTGTAATAAAAGTATTTTTCATGTAGAAATCCTTTTTACTGATACATTTATGATAAAATAAATAAATAATTTAATTTTAACAGTATAATATATGTATTTATATTTGAATAATTAATTTATTACATTTTAAGAGTACACTGTAATTTAAAAAATATAGTAAAATAAACCTTAACTTTTTTAAATGTATTGTTAAATTTTTAGTTATATTAATTATTATATTATATTAAAAATATTTTTGCCTTTAAATTACATATTTAATAAGCCTATAAGATGTAATTGATAAAATTATAGTCTTATTGAGAAATACCATAGATAGCCAATTTTAACATTCAATTTCAAAATTGGTAAAGGATACAGAAAATAAATAGACTAATAAATTATAGTTGATAATTATTTTAATAAAAATACTCAAATTATAAAAAAATATAAATAAATTATTAAAAGTATAAAATATTAAAGCACTGGTTTGCTTTGGACGGAAATAATGAATAACTTTGATTAACATAATACTTGGACGGCATGTTTGTTTCATTTACAATTAAAAATATAATAAGACTACTTAATATTTATGTATATAAATTACAAATGGGATGAAATAATAATAAAAATAATCTATTATTATACTAAATGCTTAAATAGATTATGAAACAAAAGCATATTATATTATATTAAGTTGTTAAATTAATAATATGTTACATTAAATCATAATTATGTATACAAATTATTCTTTGATCTATTTATAAACTTACATTTTTTGGAACCCAAATAATAATGTAATGCAGCATCCCATTAATACAATTATATTTGATTTTAATGAACTGCTTCCCATCTAAATTATAATAAAATTATGTAATTCATATAATTATTAAAAATATTTAAAAAAAAAAATAAATATTATTTACTGTAATGTAAAAATTGCAACGATCTCCTAAACAGCATTCAGCACACTTCCAATCTTGATACCATAAATAGGTACAATATGGCATGGTTTTAGTTTTAACAGCTTCACATGTAGCTCTAGTGGCACATCTCTTTGATACATAATACTGCTTGAGTCCTCCTTCAACCCAATATGGAGGAGCTAAATAAAATATTAACAATAATAATAAGTATAGTTATATAATATAAATAATTAATATCCTTACATCCCCAACTAATTTCTGATAAACACATATCTTCTTCTGGTTCACATGTCTTGATAGTATTTAAACATTTTTCATGGTTTTGATCTTGATTTGTACAAACATAACATTCCAACGAATTGCCTAATACAAAATCAAAAATGAATATTCAGTTATATTTATCAAAGTTGAAGTGTTTAATACTTTCATATGGAATTATATAAATATTATTTTTCAATATTTCAATATAGATTAAATTAACCTTGATCCAAAAGACACTACAAGAAAGCAGTTCTTTAAAAATATTTTTGTGATTTAATTTTTAAATAAACTTTATGGATTTGATAACCAAATAATTTGAATTTTTTTAAAAACAAGTATTTATGTTTAACAATCTTAGTTCATTCACTAAAACCAATTTTATTTTAGGCAAAATGAACACAAACATATAAGTGAAAAAGGTTTACAAGTTTGAAAAAAAATATCATTATAAAAAACTGAAGAATTACTTTGGTTTTTAAGCCTATTTATTTGTATATATATTCAAAATCAATAATAAATCATATTTAAAAATTGATTCAAAGAGAAGGTAAGTTTTGAGTCCTTATTGGCAAGAAAAGCATATGGTTTTCTAGCTAATTGACTATGATACTATTCAGGGGTCATTCATTTAATTTTAATTTGAGTTTTAAATCAAATATTATAAACAATATAAAAAGTGAGTTCTGTCCTATAAATAAAATGCATTATGTAAACCATAGACTTTTAATATAAAATTACACTACATGCTTGTAAAAAAAAAAAAAAAACCAATAAATGTTGACTCATTAAACCAAAATGTACACAATAAAAAGAACACTTGACTATTAAAGTTGACAGTGCCTGCACATAAATATGCCACTGCTTGAATCATAATGTTTGTTCATACCACATTTTATCTATCATCATCTACCATTTCAATCTATTATTCAATATATATTCAATCGCAATAAGCAAACCATCTAATATAATTAAATAATAGGTACATAACCATAATAATAATTATAAACATATACATTACTGATATAAGTACCACTAAATGCCTCATTGTTAGGATCAACATTGACTTTATATTGAAATATGGATTGCTGTGATAAATAGGGGATAGTGAAAAACAAACGTTTTGCGAGAAGTTCAAATTTTAACTTTTGGTTTGCGCATGCACAATAGTTTTTTTTTAAATAAAATTAATTTTTTTTCAACTGATAAAGATAATTTTATTAAGGCAATTTAGTCCATTAGCTAAATTATTGGCTATTGGCTATTATTGACTGATCCTAAACCTAAAAATTACTGAATTACTGCTATAATTAAAAAATTAACTAAAATTAAATCATTTATGAGTATTACCACGTTGTATCTTGTATTATCATAATGAATCTAATATAAGTTATGAAATTATTTCCAGTTTAATTATTTGACAAATTATATTAAACTAATGATTGAGTATTATTTAATTAATGATTAAATTTACTATACATGGTTATACTGACAAGTTCATAATAATAAAAGTGATATAAACTATTTATAATACATTATAACTTAAACTTTTACTTGAAATCCCATTTTTTTTTTTTTTTTTTTTTATTAAAATATTAAATAAATATGAAAAAGTTATTATGATTTTAGTTTATGAGTGTAATCAACACACTTGTGAGCAGTGTTGGGACTATCAAGATAAAATTATCCCAAAGATAATCTAGATAACATTCAAATTATCTTTTATCTAGATAAATCCAGAGTATCAATATCTTATACTTATCTTTTTACGTTTTTTCTGTCAATAGATAATAGATGTTAAATCCAACAAAGTGGTTCTTTTTTTTTTATTAAAATAAAATTTTATTGTTTTATTTAGCAGTTTTTCATAATTTGTCATACAATAATTATTGAAATATGTGAATTGTGACATTTATTTGTATTTTAAAATTTAAATTATTACATTAAAAAATATTTTAATACAAATTCTAGTACAACCAAATGTTATATACTTATATACTAGTATATTATCTTTATACAACTTAATGTTAACTTATATAACCAAATTAAATTTAATTAAAAAATTATGAATAATGTAAGGCCACTTAGTAATCACTACTTGTACAGATATTAAAATATATGTAGGTATATTAAATAAAAATTTTAATTAATCTTCATCTGTTAATCATTTATTAACTTATTTACTTTTAAGAATAATAAGAATATTACATCAAACCTTAAGACATTCAATAAAAGAGTTATTTTAAAAATATAGCCATGAGTTCTTCTTTAACGGTGACCAAAATGAATTGATTACCTCCTTGAAAGAACTACCGACTCCGCCAATTATGTTGTGTGCGGCAGTTAAACCGTAAAGGTGATGATGTCTTTAGGAATATTCCAAAATAAAATACTCAAACTAAGTTAGACTTGTTTATTGAAATATTTCTAAGTATAAATTATTTAATTAATTTAACAAGTAAACTGGCATGGAGGTGCTTGCTAATACACATATATAACATATCTGAATATTGGTCTATTCGGGACTCCCTTGTATACCCCGCTTATCATAGTTTATCTGGACCTAGTGAATGCTAAATCACTTATCATTTTAGATTGATGTTACTTTTATTTTGTGCGCCCAACCCAATATTACCTATGTAATCAGTGTAACCTCGTGAATTCTGCGTTTTGCATATATCCTACTGATGCCTGTCTATAATAGTTGTTTTTAATATTTATTACATACTATTTGTCTTCTTTACAATATAACTCGTAAAGACCTATATCTTTGTAATATATCATACTGATGCCTATTTATAATAGTTATTCTTAATATTATACCTAGGAATGTAGCCATACGGTATATATAATATGTGTTAGCGTTACCTTCTGATTTAAACTATTAGTTCCTTTCTATTGTGGCGAATATTATATTATTTATAATCATTTCCCGATCTTTACTATTAACAATTTATGTGGGCCCTCCTATGTAGTAAAAGTCGTAAGGACCTACAACTATGTATGTCCATAACAAGACCTTAAATGCTATTTTAAATATTTATCTTTTATCTTTTTATTTCATCTAGATAACTGAAAGATTATCTTTTATCTTTATCTTAGATAAACCTTTAGTCATTATCTTCATCTTTAATCTAAATAAAAATATTGGTTATCCTTTCCAACATTGCTTGTGAGACTGCAATATTCTATGCAAATCTACATACCTAAAGATATATATATATATAAACCTCAAAATAAACTAGGGGTGCTAATTTTGAACTTAAGGGTGATAAGCATCCACTGGCACTCCTGTATATGCACCAATGATTATAACAACAACAATTAAATGATAGACTCACATGAACCATGATTACTTCAGCTGATTAATAGGTTTTATTTATTAGACCATTTTAAAAATTTTTTATGCAGACCCATTAATCAATTTACTAGATTTAAAAATAAGATTACGGAAGCATGCAGATAGTATTGGTCTTGCTCATGATTGAGAAAAAAAAAGTGTTACTCATTACTGTTAACGTTTAAAAGGGAAGTATTACAAAATCCTTAAGTGTGCAGTAAAAAAAAGAATAAATTTTAGCCTCTGCATTACCGAAAACATTTTTGGGGACACCAGGATACCAAGTCCAAAACCAGTGACAATCCTGGTTTTCCAGGACGTATGGATATTAAATAAAGTTTAATATAACCTTTAATACATAAGACATTATTTATTAAGGTGAATATTTTTTACTATGTATATTCATATAAAAGTTAATCATGTATAATAGTAAATTCTTACATCTAAAACTAAAGCTGTTTCCATACAGAAAAAATTGTAAACAAAGCATTCAAATATGGCAAATAATTATATTTAAAACAATACTTACTCAAGTTAATAATAACTGTCACATATACAAAGATGAACAATAAATTACTCATATTTGTTATTGAAAACCAAAAATATAGTCAGTTAACCATTAATAAATAAAATCGATCAGTTGTAAAAAAAAAATGTTTAATTGGTATTTGGTAATGTACAATGTAAGTAATAAAATAAACTATTAAATATAAATTGGTTGGGTGTACTATATTATTGTTATAATTCATTGATATCACATTATCAAATCACACCTAAAAAACCAAGGATGTTATACCACAGAGTATATGAAATATACTTCATATAGTCTGTGTTATGTATACAGATTTATTATCAATAACTGTGGTTATGGCAGTTTAAGAACTTAAACCATTACATGGACCATCACCAACTAATTAATTTATGATAGCACCTACAGTAATTTTATATATATATATATTTATTGTATCCTTGATCAAAATAATATTTGAAATTGATCAATGGGGATACAAGTGTTTTGTTTTGATACTCTATTTGATTAATGCATAGAAGGTAGATGAGCATTATGTTTTGTTGTCACTTTGACTGTTAATTTTTTTGTTTTTTTTTTCTCCAATTTATTTATATTTACACATTTTGTGTAATAAATTTTCAACATTAAGTATAATGTCATCCGCCAAGTATAAAAACTATGATGTATGCGCAGATTGTAGTGCTCCAGGTATTTTTAAACATTTTAATAGACATAATAAAGTTGTATACTTTAAATTATGTATATTTTTTTATGCATTTTCAAATATCTTCCAATTTTAAAAACAATGTAAGTGTTAAGTGGTAGGAATCATCTGAATAGCACAATAAAATGTTTTGTTTGTTATTATATTTTAATTACAAAATAAAACAATATTTGTTATGATATAATTTATATTCTGGCTAACTATGTAGAGTTAATTTGATTGTTTAAATACTTACTTTCTGAACTAATTTTAAAGTATAGGATACACTTATTTTTTAATTAATTTAGTTGTGACAGTTTTGCAAATATTAGTAATTACATTATATGTAAATAATTTTATAAAATATTATTGGTTAAGAAAATTAGTATTTAACATTAAAGAAACCACTTTGTTAAATATTTACTGTATTTTAATCTAAATATGTATATATTTCTACTTTACATTAAAGCATGAAAGAAATATTCATCAGATGAATCATTATTTAATTTTTCTTTGGGTAGTAAGACAGGTTGTATGTATAATAGAAAGTTATTTTATTTTAATTACAATTAATTTGATTTAAAATTTGATTAAAATTAATACAATGATTTAACAATCATTATATACTATTTATTTTTGTTTTATAATTATTTATGAGCATTTTATTCTTTTATAATTTCATTTTTAGACTCAAATTGGGTGATTGTAAATCGAGGATTATATATTTGTGATGAATGTTGTAGCATTCATCGTAGTTTAGGTCGTCATGTATCACAAATTAAAAGTTTAAGTGCTGAATGGTGTCCAATAACATTGAATGTAAGTATTACCGTATATATATAACTTCATTCATTTTCAAAGAATTTTAAATTCATACAATTATATAGATGGTGAGAACTTTACATCAAGCAAACATTAATACTCTTTGGGAACATGCTTTAAATGATAACAAGAACCATAAGAAAAAACCTACTCCAAAAGATCCACTGTATAGTAACATTTTTTCAATATATTTAATTTATAATTTATATTCCAAATTACTGATAAACAATTTTTAGTCCTGTCAAAGAAGATTTCATACGTGCTAAACATAGACAACAATTGTTTATATTAAAAAGTAGTGATACTAGAGAAGATTTAAATCAACAATTGCATTCTAGTGTTAGAACATCAAATCTAGAAACTAGTCTCAGAATATTAGCTCAAGGAGCTGATTCTAATTATTACCATCCTGTAAGTATACTTTAATACTTGATATTACACTTTTATAATTTAATTTAAATTTAGGAAAAAGGGAACTATCCATTACATGTGGCAGCTAAATCAGGACAGTTATTACAAATTGAATTACTACTTACTTATGGTGCTGATCCACGAGTAATTGATAATAAAGGAAATACTCCAGCAACATGTGCCAAGTAAGTTATTTAATTGTTCTTATATTTTAAACATTGAATTGCATTTTTTTTAGGCTATCTGGTCATAAAGATATTGAAGAAAGACTGAATGATAATTTGTATGAAGTATTAGATGTTCTTTCTGTATATGTTTATGGACGTAAAGCAGAACATAAAAATGGAGAACATATGGTTAATTTCGATTTAAATGATGATAGTATTTTAGACAGTGATCAACAAGATGCTATTAAAAAAATGCAACAAGTAAATTGAATTTAATATATAACTTGAGTACAATAGTTTTTATTTATTTTTTTTTAGCTTCCTAATTATTTGTTTGAAGACTTGATATTAGATGTATTCGATGAAATTGATAGAAGAGAAACAGAAAAGAGTAAATTTTTAACATTTCTAATCATTTTTAAATATTAATAATGTTCTTCATATTTTTCTATAATAAGTTTGGCAGAATAAAAATTCTCAAGGTCATATGTCAATACCATTTTTACCAGTAAATCCAGATTTATCGTCAATGAAAAATCAAGGACGACAAAAATTAGCTATTTATGGACCAAAAGAATTTAAGAATTTTGTTACAAACATTTTAATTGAAATTAATAGAAGAACTCAACCAAGTAGGTTCTCATAAAATAAATCAATTTGTATTCAGGCTTGAAATTTTTTTATATTTTAGTGAATAAAATAATAACAAAATTAAAATATGATGATGACGAACCATTGTATGATCATGTTGCTTCTGATGAAGATTATGCAACACCTGAACAAATTGCTGCTATGGTATTTTTTTCTATTTAGTTATAGTAGTCAAACCAAAATGTATTTTTTGTTAAAATTGAACAAATTGTTTTATGGTTGTTTGGGGAATATAAGCACTTGAGTATCCTGTAAACACTTTAAATAACACGTAAATCTTTGCTGTGAGATATTTTATCTAGTATCTAGTATTGAAATTGTAATATTTATATGTTGTCTCTAGAAGAAATATATACGTATTGGGATAGGTTTTAATTCTTCTAGTATTTACTAGCTCTTCTAGTGTTATCTTTTTTTGTGAATGTAATCTTATAACCTTTTAAGCTAATTTTGAATTATTAATTTTTAAGATGGCTAGACATAGTAAACCAACTAATAATTTAAATGATAAAGAGGATAGTTTTAAAGAAAAAAAAATATCTGAAGAAATTATGGATTCAAACAAACCAAACATTAACCATACACTACCTAATGTGCCACTGTTTAATGGCAATGCATTTGAATCAAAATCATTAGATTATGAAGCAAAAATTTCAAAATTGATATCTGAAATTGATATACTAAAAAAAAAAAGGTAAGTAAATATTATTTTTATTAACTAAGCAATTCTTTATGATATTTAATGTTAGGTGGAAGAAGTTTCTAAAGAAAATGCTGAATTAAAGTGTGAAATGTTACGGCAGAAACAACCATTAGTTATAAGCAATGAAAATGAAAGTGGTGATGTAAAACAACATATTAGACCTGTGTCAATGTATGAAACTCGGGAAGGAATGAAATGTGATACAATTCGTAATATACAAGTAAGTAAATTCGTAGTATTTTAATAATTGTACCTTTAATAAAAAATTATTTCAAAATTCCTAATTTCTTATAATTAAATTGGGCATTGGTTTAATGTATGACCCAGTGACGGCTCGTGTGCTTTGAAAGTGGGAGGGCGATATAAAATTGCTTATTTATGTGATGTATTGAACACAAATAATATTAATAATAGTTATTTAATTAAATCCATTTAATACATATAAATTATTATATATTTTGTTTTAAATTATCAAAACTTTTTTTTTGGAAAAATAAAAATACAAACTGAAAATTACAAAATTAAAAAAAAAAACATTTACAAGACTTTATACTTAAAGTCTAAAGATTTATCTTTTGTTTCACTAAACATATCAAACACTTTCTTATTAAAATAAGCATCATTTGAAATAATTTCATTTTCAATATTCATCATTGTTAGAGCGTTTAACCTTTCTTCTCCCATTGTGCTTCGTAAACATGTTTTTATATGTTTCAGCATTGAAAAACATCTTTCTGCTTCGGAAGATGTTATAGGAATTGTTATTAATATTTTTAACAGAGTAAGGATTTCTCGAAAAGTTTCATTCATATAATTTGATATTATTTTTTTTATCTTGGAATTCCACCATTCAAAGTTTGGAAGTCATCTCGAAAATACATAACTTCTAGTTCAGTCTTCAACCTTTCGATATCAAAAAACGTGTAGCATTCAATTGTGCATTGAAAATATTGTAATGGAAATGTTTTAGAATATTCTAAATATTTTTCAGTTTTAAATAAGTTAGCGGCGGTTGTGTTTAGTAAATTCTAAACAATCTTTAGCTTTGACAATTATTGTATCGCAGACCTCAAGCACAGCATTTTTTCGCGATATATTCATGGTTTCATGTGATTCCAAACGTGATTTTTTTCTATTTATATTAGGCATATTTGAAGCACTTTCAATAATATCAGTTACATTATTTCTTATTTTAGATATTTCGTTTTTAAATTTTTTCGACTGAACTATTTATTTGTACCGGGTCAGTATTAACGGCTTGAACATTGTTATATAAACAGTCTACACGTGTCATTATTTTATGAAAAATAGATAACCAGAATATAAATATTGAATTACTTAATAAACGTTTTATTGACCCGGTTTGATTAATAGTCAAAGTTTGTTGGGAAGATTCTATTATTTTGTCTATGCCAATGGTTCTCAACCGGGGTGACATGTCACCCAAGGGTGACATGGACACAGTGTAGGGGTGACACGAAATCTCCACAGGAAAAGGAAAAAAATTAGAAAAAAATTAATTTTAATAAAACCATATTATTACCACAACAGTCATGTAAATAGCATACCTTTAAGTTTACATCTTTATATTATTTAGATCCAATGAATATGTGCAGTATTGTTATTAACGCAAAATCGATGTATTATCGATTTTGTTTATCGACTTAACCGGGGTCGTTAGTTATTTTACAGTCGTTAGATATGTAGTATTATTATATACAAATAAAATAAATAACAAGTATAAAAATCTTTAAAAAATTTTCTTTTTTTTTTTTTTTAATTTTAAGTATAAACTTTATAATATCAATGTTTATTGAACAATGCATCTCAATAAATTGTAGGTGTTCTACTGTTTTCTTCTGTTTTTATTGTTTTTGTTATTTCAAGAATTATTCTAAAATACACAGTTAAGATTATTTATTATTTTGATGTTAGGGTGACGCGGTGTTTAATTCTAGTGGCTAAAGGTGACATGAATGAAAAAAGGATAAGAATCACTGGTCTATGCACTCCATTATTTCATCTCTATACTCTTAAACAATGTTAACCGTATGTATATTGAAATTCCATCGAGTTTGTACTGCCCGTGGTAATCTAACGCCAACTAATTTATCCAATACGGCTACTTTGCGGTGAATTTGAAAAAAATACTGGTATTTTTGATTAATTTAAAAATATCCAAACTTCTTTATTTTGAGATACTGATTGTGTCATAATTAAGTTTAACTGGTATGCACAGCAATGAATATAATACGCATATGGATATAGTTCCTTAACCCTACTCATTAACCCTACATTAACTCCACTCTTTTGTCCACTCATGACTGCCGCGCCATCATACTATTGTGCTATTAGTTTATTCGGAGTATTTTTTAAAATAGGATTTATTTCAGATAATATTGTTGATGTTAATGATTCTGCATTGTGTCCATCAGGATTTAAAAACCCCCAAAAACATTCTACTGGTCGACCTTTAAGTTCATAGCGAAATACAATAACTAACTGAAACATATTAGAAATGTCAGTAGCCTCATCGACGATTATAGAAACAAATTGAGCAGTTTATATTTCTAATAAAATTTGTTTTCTGGTTACAAGTTATATACAATCTAACAAATCATTCTGTATTGTTTTAGATGTCCCTTTAAACACTTTTGAATTTTCAAAATGATTACGCAAACTTACATCTAAGTCTTTACATAACTCAATAACACCGATGAAAACACCTTCATTATTAGAGTTAATTTTTTCATTGTGACCTCTTAATAGTAAATTATGTTGTCCACAAAATTTTATACAGTTCAGAATATTTTCTAATATATAACGATTTTTATCTATTCCTTCATTATGACGTTGAATCCTAATTTTATAGCCCGTCAATTTTATCGAAAATATTGATAGTACCGAGTACTTTAAGATTAGCTTCATTTTGTAAGTGTTTAAAAGAATTCTCGTGTTTTTTAATTTTTTCCGATAAATGACCCAAATGTGTTGTACCTGTTTTAGTCCAAGAAATGTCGTTTTCAAAATATAAATAAGGAAAACAATAAACAGCTAGTTTTATATCACAACCACATAACCACTTTTGTTTTGCATAATAATCCGTATTAAAATGCCGAATATATTCATTTTTACTTTTTTTTGCTTTATTGATCAATCCTTTCAATTCAGGTGTAGGTCTTCCAAGCTGTTTTATTTCAATTTTTTGTTCATAAGTATATGACGTAAAAGGTTTTGAAATTAAATTAATTACTGCATTTTTAAGTGTGGGTGAGTCCATGATATAAAAAATAAAAATAATTCTAATATATACGACCTTACTAAATAAATAATAAACACACGCAAGTTCGGAAATTATGTATATCGAGCGATTGAAATCATCGCCCCGGTGGCAGCGTTATTGCTATGTCCCCTTTCTTAGTTTTTGTATTCCGATCATGCTTATATAGAGCGACTTTTAACATCGCATACGCTGCTCGCGGGTCCCGACAAATTGTTATCGGTTATGGATTCTCAGAAGCTACAGTGTTGAATGATTTATTTTTGAACTCCTATTATCTGATAATGTTTTTATAATATTTATTAGTATAAATATAGGAAACACAATTTTTATTTTTGACAATATTATGCTACAATATAAATTTGATATTAAACTCATAAATTAGTAATAAATGATAATTTTAGAAGAGGGGCGATCGCCCCATCGTCCCTATCTACGAGCCGCCACTGGTATGACCTATTGGTTGTTGGTGATCTGCATTTTAATGTTTATAGTATGATGTGTATTCTACCAATACAATTTAGGATAAAATTTCCTTTTTAGCTTGATAAATGTATATAATATTCGACAATATTATTATGAGATGATAAAATGTATAGCTAGATAAATATATCATGAAACGCTCATTCCAACTATCCAAAATTATGTTTTTCTTGAAACAACGATTGCAAGCAATGAATGGTAACTGTATGCTTATTTAAAAGATATTGGTTTTATTCATTACTCAATAATTTATTCTAAAAATGTTATCAATCCTATTGCTAGTTATAATACTCAAACAATTTAGTGTCTGTGATTGATTTTGAAATTGAATACATTGAGAAAAATGCATAGCATTACACTAAAAATATTATTTAAGCATTTGATTGAGGTGTGGTATAGGTCAATAAATGGAAAAGTTGAACTACATATAACCATCCTAAATTCTTTTAAAAAAATATTCTTTGAATCAAATAGTAAAATCAACATTATATGTTATATATGTAATAAACATTTTAAAATAAAATTGTGTATGTTGTATCTTGTAGTTCAATAAAATTATAGTAGATCATATGTTAGACTATAAACTTGCTGATAGATCACACATTAGTCCAATGCCTTAAGTAGTTAATGTACAAATATAAAATAAAGTATATTTTTAAATTACCAAATTTTTTGCCTCTTTAATGTTTCAAATTATTTATTAGATGGGTAATTTACCATTGTCTGAAGATGTTATTCGCCACACTGATCTTGTAACTAAGTGTATACAAGAACTTTGGACCAATATTAGGTCATCTGAAGCTTGTAAAGCATTTGTCCCAGGGGCTGATAAGATTAAAACTGCTGTTGTTGAACTTACTGCTATATTTCCTCATGTAAGTTAACTAGTTTGCTCCTTATAATTTTATTTAAAATATGTGTTATAATAAGTTAAAATTTAAGATTCATTTAAATTTAAAAGCAATAATAGTAAATTATATTCTAATTTAATAGTAAGTTAATATATATTTTATCATATTTCTCAAAATATGCTATCAAAATTATTAAATACATTTTTCCTGTTTTCAAATTGTTATAAAAAAAAATTCATTTTAGATATCTTGAATATAAATTGAACTCTAGAAATTAGTAGATAAAAATGAAACTATTATTTGAAACCAACTAGATAATTAAATTTGTTTATAGCTTTAAATTTTGCCCAGTTGTAATTTCTCCTTGCTAACTCATACAATTTTACCAGCCACTTTCATAAAAAAATGTAATAATTAATATTATTTTTTTATAAAATATATCAATTTGACTGTTATTTAAACATTTCAGTATGAATTTACCTTAACAGAATATTAACAGGCCTAACAAACATAGGTTAGCTTTATATTAATTTTTCAGATTTCAAAACTCATTTACTTTTTGAGATTAATCAAAATTATAATTTTTGTCTAATTAGTGATTTGATGATCATTGCACTTCTTTTTTTTTGTTCAGAATCTATAACTGATAAGGTATAATTTATATTTCAAATAAGCAAATATTATTACAATTTATATTTAATTCAATTTTATGAAGATTATTAAAATTGTATGATTAAAATAATGATATTTATATTTAGAGTATTAATGATGATGTTGTGAAATCTGCATTGTGGTCATTGAATACAAATACTACTCAACTGCAACTTGAATGTGCATGCTTGGAAGCTGGTGTTGAAAGAGTTAGAAATTGTTCATTTAATATGGCAAAAGCCACTAAACAGCTTTTGACCAGATTTTAACTGTAATAACTTTTAAGTAAACTATAAAATTGAACATTATAATATATATATATACAATTTTTTGAAGTTCCTTTTTGTTCTTTGTCTATAATAATAAACACTAAGTACAGGATCATATTTTGTAAATTATACATTGTACTTTAGTTGTATTAAGTTCTGTTGAATACTTGTTTTTATTATTTTTGTATACCTCCATAGCATCTATAATTCTACTAACAATCTTATTGCATTGTATTCTATACATTCATATATTTTTAGTTATTATTTTGTTAGAAGATTCATATCATCATTTATTTTAGAATAAGTTATATAATTTAAATTTCAATATCTAATCATTAAATTTTGTATTCTAGATAATTTTTACTTAACAAACCAACAAAATATATTATATTTTTAAATTGATATCTTATATATTGAGCTAAATTAAATTGTGCTCAAATATAATAAAATTTTATTGCAATTTAAAATTATTTAAAGAACTATATGAACCTTTTACTTAAGGGTTTGACTAACTTAAATTATTATTGTGATGTACCAAAGTTGGTACTACTGCACATTTAAAATTATGAATATACTCCAGAGAAGTTAACACCGTTGATGCTACATAATCTTTGGTCATCGGTTAACGTTAAAAAATTTTGATTTTATAAGATATGTTTTTTTATGATAGTATTTATAATAAAGATTTAACTCAATGTATTTAAAATGTGTAACCTGAGTTTACCAAAGACTTCACAATTGTAAAAACAAATATAAATCAATGTTTATTTTAAAAATATTTAAATAATTTATAAATAGCCTAACAAGTTTTATTATTTTATAAATTTTATATTAATTTTAACAACCAAGTAAACTGACTTAGGGGCACATATAGAGTGTGGGTTCAAGCAGTCAGCTGACCCACAGTTAATATTTATTGACATACAAGTAATTGATCTCTTGAAGACTTCATATATTTTTTAAGTGTACCAATTAATTTGAAGTTAATACTAGATTGGGGAAAATGCCCTAGTTACCCCCCCCCCCAAATTACGCCACTGAATTAATTATATAGTACAGTTAAACATCTCTATGCTGAATCTTATGTTAGACAGAATCCTCTATAAAATAAATGTTAATGTTTTCAATGATATAATTATGATTAAACATAAAAATATATATTATATCATCATATTGTATTTTTTTTTACAATATATTGTATATTTATAATCCAGGTTCAGACCTAATAAGTAGCCTCTTGAAATAACCTAACCCTCAGTTCTCTAACTGTTGATCCGTGTTATTATCCTTTCGCCCTTTTAAACTAGCTGTCATGTGTGTACGCAAAAAAAATTATCTTGACAAATGATTGACATGGAACACAAGAGGAATGAATATAACAACTAATTTTTCAAAGATTTCAGCCTACCTCTTCTGTTTTTTTTTTTTTATATATGAGTATGTGAGATATATATTTAAAATTTTTTTAATGTGGATCATTTTATAATGAAATCAAATTATATGTGACTGTGAATCAGGCCGTAGCCAGGCCAAATCTTCAGGTGGGGCAAACAAAATTGTAGGGGGGCATTAGAAAAAATCAATATTAATGCTATTTTTAATTTATTAATACTGTAATTTTTATAATAGGTACTTTAAATTAAAATAATAAGAATTAGAATAAAGTGAACATTTTGAATATTTTTATAATATATTGTTTTTTGAATTTACCAGTTTTTTTTAAACTAAAACAGTTGTAATTTTCTATCTTTTTGCTTGTTGAATTCCATTAATAATACATCCAAATTTAGAATTTTAGGATCTAATGAAATGGTGAATGTTATCGGTTCGATATGTTATATTTATTGTTCAGTGTTATCATCAGACATCAATCAGATGCCATCGTATTTTCCAGTGCAAATGCTATACAACATAGGTTCTTAACCCGGGGTCCGTAGATGACTACTCAGTGGTCCACGGGGTGGCTGTGAGTTTTTTTGAAATAAGCCAAAATAAATTTGTTTTGATAGTATTTTTAAAATAATTATAATTGTTAAAACACTCGAAAGCCATTTGAAAGACAACAATGTTTTTAAATATAAAACTTAGATTACGATAATCTTATATGCCATAAAAAGCTATCGTAATCGTAAAATAATATAACATGGCAATACAATCTAACGAGCAGTTCAATTTAACACTGAAACCTATCACTTCTGTTGACCCGTCACCGTATAATAAAAATTATATTTATTTACCTATATATATATTTTTTTTTTTTTGCAGGGGGGTCTGTGATTTTATTTTATGCTTTAAAGGGGTCCATGGCTAAGAAAAGGTTAAGAATCTATGCTATACAATATTGCTAAAAATAATTTCTTATATTAAACAGTGCTTCTACTGCCGATGAAATTATTATCAAGCAATAAATTATATTATATTTAACTACCACGGCTGTAGATAGAAAAACCTACTATCTACATTAATGCTAACTACTAAATGTCATGATATTATTAACTTTTGTTGGGGGGGCAACAATCAGGTCCAGAGGGGCAACGCTCCCCTTTGCCCCCCCCCCGTGGCTACGGACCTGCTGTGAATACTGAATTGGCCTTTTTTTCGGATATTACGTGTCACCGGCTCGATTCTAAGTAGTGCAGTCGATGATGTATTTAATTTTAATTAATAAGATATGAAGATATGAGACTAACTTTTTACATTTATTTTAACATTCAAAGTGTTTAACATAAAGTGACGTGAAGTTGCTTGCAGTTCCGTGACTAGAACTCATCTGAATTGTGGTCATTTCGGTCCCTCTTTTATATTGCTTGATTGACGTCATTGAACTTGTTATTCTGTAATTTTCAGGAAATCTAGGCTCATGTTTCTGAGGACTTTACACCTGCTGTTTGTGTGTCGATGCCCTTGTAATACCCACATTTGTAATTCCTAGTATTCCTGATTTAATTCATACATTCTTTTTACATAATTTTTCTTGTTATATAGACCGGTATTTAGATTATAAAAAGAATATAATATTATCGTTCCCCGTATTTTAAATACACGGGTAGTCAACTATTACGTGAATATAAGCACAATTTACTATATGATATATGGAAGCCCATAACACGGATCCATACTTAGTGAAAAATCAAATAAAACACAAGCGTAATTTTCAAAACACAGACAAATGTTAAAAAATAACTACACAAAAGTCGATTCTAAGTGAATCCGACATTAGGTTAAAAAAAAAACCACAAATATTCAGGATTCACCCTATTTAAATATTACCAAAATTTGACTTATAGTTTTTGAGCCTGAATTAAAGAAAAAATTTGAGTCTCCCCCCCCCCTTATAAGTTAGTCTAAATACGCCCCTGAGTATGGTTCTCATAATTGATTTTCAGTTTAGTAATCTACTAAGTCGTTATTCTACCGTCGTTATTGACAGTCAGACAGTCGTTATTGAAGATATACAGGTTAGCTATCGTATATTTAAATTGCATTGATAGCTGACGGTTAGAATGCCTTACGGGTTTAGTAGCTACATATTTTCACCACATCTGTAAAGCGTTAGTAGGATGTAGACAGTGGCAGCACAAGGTAAAATTTATATGTGGGCGAAGTAGACTTAAACAGGCCCTTTTTTAAATTTTTTAGTAAACATTTAAGTAACAATAGTTATTTAATAAATATTAAGATTTACAATTTTTAAAACAATAAACTCTAATTATTAACCTTTTATTTGCAAATGTAGTCTTAATATAATTTTATTTATACATAATTATAAAATTAAATACATATTTTTTTAAGTTAATAATACTGATAGAAGTTTTATTTATTTTTATTTACAAGAAATGGACTTTTCGGCTTTTTGCTTCACTAACTACATATTTTAGTGATTCTTACTAAACAAGTAATTTGATTTGTGTATCAAGAATCAACTATTTTTTTCTTTTTTTTTCGAAATTCCAATATGGCGGGGATAACATTTCTTCAGCCCCACCAAACATAAAATTTGATTTTCCAGGGTTAGAAAGTCAACACAAACGCGGGACCAAGTAGAACAAACGGTACTAACGTAGCACAATCGAATGAAAAAAAAAAAATTTCAAAATTCCAATATGGCGGGGCTGGGGAAATGGACCTGATAAAACACAACCAATTGAACTAATAACTGTCAAAATGAAATTACGTTATCGAGTTAAATAAAATCGGTTCACCGAATCGGTCAGTTTAGCCCCGATAACGCAGTTTATATATTAACTAGCTGAATTACCCGTCGTTGCTGGGTTTAAGTATATAAATGTATGTAACCTGCCAAGATTAAATATTGTTAAATCTATTGAAATTTAAATTAATTAAGATTTTTGAAATAATATTTTATACATATTAATTTAGTTTTTAAGATAATGATTATTATCATAACCTATTCGATAAGTTATAGCTTTTGGCGGCAGAAGCTTTGTTCACGATAAATTTTAGCACTAAAGGTTCAAAATAAATGTTTTACTAATAGTTTTTCAATATGTTATCTACAAAAGTTCTTTGTAGACAATGTTCTTCACTGATCTATTAGTAGACGACAAAATCACCAAGCTACTGGGTGTGCTTACGCGTGAGCAAGCTACGTAGAACTGCTCATGTGAAAAACAGTTTTCTCGCAAACCTATTCCTGCAAATTTAAGAGTTTGGCCTTGAGACTTGTTTATAGTCATTGCAAAACAGACTTTCAGGGGAAACTGTAATCGTTTAAATTCGAACGGATGATCATTCGGAATTAAAGGAATTCGTGGTATAAACACAGTTTCCCCTTTTGCACATCCTGTTAAAATTGTGGCTTCTACTGTATTGCGATGTACAGCTTTGACTTTAAGCCTGGTCCCATTGCACAGTTTAGGTGGTTTCAAATTTCGCAACAACATAATAGGTGTGCCCACACGCAGAATAAGCTTATGATATGGCATGCCCGGTGGTTTCAATGAATTTAAAAATTCAACCGGATAATTAGTTGCATCGTCCATGTTGACCACCGTATCTATAGAAGTATATACTTTTTCTTCCCCTTCAAAAGACATCAGCAGTGTATCATTGATAGCCGCCGCTTGGTCATTTTTTGGAGTGAGTATAGCACGTTCACACAACCATTCCATAGGCTTATCATGAATATGAGGAATATCTGGATAAATTTTTGATATTAAATCCTGAACCGTAGTTAAAACTGTACACAAATTTTCTGGGATAGTTATCATTTCATCAAACGATGGATAATCACCATTGCCAATTTCAAGTAAAAGATCTGAAAATCCACCAGCAAACTTTTCCTCTCCCAAGTGTACCCTCATATTTTCTGACAGTTTGAGTATATTAATCTTAGGCCATAAAGTAGATCTTTTAAGACATGACTTGACTTCATCAGTTCTGGTCCCTTTTGGTACTACTGGTAGAGTCTACCTAAAGTCTCCAACCAGTAAAACCGTTACACCACCCCTTAACCTTTTATTTTCCCTTATATCCTTTAGAGATCTATTTAAAACCTCAACACCACCCTTATGAGCCATTGTAATTTCGTCCCATACTATTAATTTTGTAACTTTTAAAACTTCCGCAAAATTACTTTGTTTTGATATATTACAAAAGGGAGTGGCCGAAGTTGTTAGATTGAGTGGTAATTTGAAGGTAGCATGGGCCGTTCGACCACCCTCGAGCAGTGTTGCTGTGATTCCAGAAGATGCTATAGCTAAGGCAATTAGGATATTTAGAACACCGAATATTTACTTCTCGTTCGTCTTCACCGACAAAATAGATTTGAAGGTACTGTGCGCCCTTTCCGGGTTCAGGTAATATACTTCCAATTAAATGGTAGACCTGTCTTTTAACTTTAAAAGTCGGTAAGAATTCGTCTGTTACCTGTTTACCACCAAATGACGTCATCTGAAAACAGGCGTTATATTTTCGAATATTGTTCATGAATTGCACATGATCTGGGTGCAGAGCGTTAACCAAACTGTAGAGAGGTTCAGGTAGTTGTTTTAACCTCTCAAATTGTACTTTTCCGGCGCTACAACACATACCAAGTGTCTCATCTTTCCACTTCAAAGCGTTGCACCACTGACACTTATAGGTCATAGAACCCAAAGCTACACAGGTGTCAGTTCTATATGCAATATCTGGATCATATGCCATACCTGAATGCACCTTGCTTTTCCATAGACGCATAGTAGTATTTTCCTTATACCTAGATTCAGTTTGATTCTGTCTATATTTTTTTTGTGCTTTTTTTTATTTGTTTTTTTTCTTGTGTAATTAGTAAATCTAGCCCTTCGTTTTCGACAAGACGAAATAGATTGAACTGTTTCACTTGATTGGGATAGTGAAATGTTTGCAGAAATGTTACTGTGTACTGAAGATGCAATAGGTGAATGTTCGCGTTCATCGACCAGTTTCTCTATACGACTTTGAGTATTGTTTTCTGTCGCAGTAAGAAGATAAGCATCAAAATGTCCATTGGGCAAATCTTGTCCAAATCGTAAAAGCTTTACTGGATAATCATTAGATCCGGACTCCGTGTATAAGATACCATTTCGATAAACTTTAAAATTAAATGGAAATATACATTCCGCTGCTATAAACTCACAAAGCCCACCATAAGTTTCATTTTTTATCATATCAGCATAATATTCATTGGCCGTTGAGTAATTATCATCTTATCTATTGTGGGACATAAATGAAAACTTGGTCCAGTCATTCACCACATGTCCAACAATTAGTGATCGCACCTCTATCGCATTGTCTTGTGTTCCGTGTATTAAAAAAGAAAGAGCTCGGAATAAATAGGCACCATCGCCAACAATGGGGACAACAGTATGTTGTTCAAGTTCTCCATTAACTAAAAGACTTTCTTTAGCCATTTCTTAGGTAATTAAATTAATCCTCCTAACAACAAAAACCGAACACGGAAAAATCTAAAAAACTAATCCGGCAGTAAGCTGTTTTATATTACACTTGTATACCGAAACCGTTTACTGGTCCTTTATCGAACGCTGGGCTATCGCTACGACAACGAAAAAGTGGCCAAGTACATATAATCTACAGCACGTGGGCATACATTTTATATAAGCAAACGTTTTCGTCACGCGCAGCTATAAATATAATATGTAGGATAATCACAATAAACGACAACGGTGCTACCGCGGCTCTATCCGCCGACAACGCGTTAACGCCGACTTAGGACCTTTAGGTTAGGTTAGTTAGGTTTAATAATACAAATTACATGTAAAAATTTTCTTTTACCGATTTCAACCCTTTAAATTTAAAATTTCGAAAAATCCTTTCTTAGCGCACGTTTACATCATAATAGCTATCTGTATGCCAAATTTCAGCCAGATCCGTCCAATGGTTTGAGCTGTGCGTTGATAGCAGTCAATCAGCTTACTGTTTTATATATACAGATTAGTATATTATATTCTATATCATTAAATTGATTGAAACTTATATTTTAGGAAGTTAAATCTCTTGAGTATCATTTGCCATCTAATTAAAAGTTATTTAAAGTAAACAAAAATGCTGATATCCTTAAAAAAATAAACTTTGTTAAACAATATCCTATTCAGTCATCATTTTTCTGTAATATCCAACTAGATCTACAAAAGCTTTATTTTAGAAAGACACCAGATGACAAAAAAATTGCAAAAAAGTGGTTATCAGTGCTATGTGTTAATAATGAGCTCAAAGCTATATACTGTCCGATTTGCATTGTTTTTAGTTCATCTGCTACTACATTTCTAACGGTTGTAACAATTTTAAACATATTCATGAAGTTAAAATACATGAAGAATCATCAACTCACAGACACTCAGTAGAAGCCTTTATTCAATCATATAATGATAAATCTATTGCATTTAGTATCAATAAAAAATTTAATGGCAATAAAAAAAAAATCAAATTCTAGATAATATCCATGTTTTAAATGAAGTTTTTGAAATAGTTAAATTTCTTGGTCGTCAAAATTTGCCAATCAGAGGTCCTAAAAAGTCCGAAAGCTTATATAAGTGGGACGATGAAGACAATTTGAACAAAGGAAATTTTTTGGAGTTGGTGAAGTTTACAGCTAAACGTGATGCTACGTTATACAAACATTTTAATTCCGCTATAGAGAACAGCAAACGCAGGAAAGTAAACTTGGAAAAAAATCATTAACTTCTTGTGGTAGGGGTTCACTGGTAACTTTACTGTCTAAAACTACTGTGAATAAAGTTGTTTTATCTATCATGAAGTAAATAAGGGATAGAATTAAATTAGAATTGGGTGAACAAAATTTAAGCTTACAAATTGATAGTACACAAGATGTTGGTGTTGTAGATCAGGCTGCAGTGTGCATACGGTACATTTATGAAGGTGAAGTAAAAGAAAGACTATTTGCTTTATTAAAAGTGGTTGATTCATCAGGAAATGGCTATTATGATATGTTAAAAAAACTTTTTTCTGAACATTCCATTAAGTTTGATCGTATTATTGGTGAATCATTTGACGGTGCAGCAAACATGAGAGGGGAGTATTCAGATTTACAATCTAAGATTAAAAGTCAAGAAAACCAAAGAAGCATTTATATATGGTGCTATAGACATGTGCTTAACTTATGTGTATGTGATACATGTAAAAGTATTCAAGCTAAAAAATTGTTTGGATTTTTGAATCGATTATCAACATTTTTTAGTGAATCTTATAAACGTATGCACGTATGGCTACATGAAATTGATTCAAGTTTGGGATCAAATAAATTTAAAAAGCTTCAAAAAATAGGAGAAAACAATACGCGATGATGGTCTCGAGAAAAAGCTCTGTTTTGGATTTTTGATGGTGATAAATGTCTTTTTCCTATAGTTATTCTTTACATCATATTTCTATTTCAAAAAATGTTGAACCTAAAGTTTGTTCAGAAGCATCTTCTTTATTAGATAATTTATGTAATTTTAAAATAATTCTCACAGCTTCTATATTTTTGAAAATCTTTAAAATTATTGGACCAACGTCACGTTATCTTCAGACAAGTGGTATGGATTTATTATCAGCTTGGAGTATAATAGATTCTGTAAAACTAAAAATTGGACAAATTGACTTTGACAGTATTTTAGAAAGTTCTATAAATTTTCGAAAAATATGAACAACTTACTTAATAGTATGAATCTTCCTAAAGATTTATTAGTATTATCTTCTTTACCTGTTACTAGGAATATCAGGAAAAAAAGAATGTATGATAAGCTATGTGAAGACGAAACACCGGAGTTACCATTAGACAAGTTCAGAGTTGAAACATATTAAACAATAATTGACCAGATTACTAATAGTCTAAATGAACGTTTCACCCCCAATAATCAATTGATAGCAGATGTTCAATACTTGATCCCTAAAAATTTTAAACAAATAAAACAAGTTCCAAATACAGCTTTAAAACATTTGGAAAATTTAGCAAATGTAGATCATGATTCATGATGTGTGTTATTTGGATTCTTGAAGACCATTTAAATATTGCTAAATGTAATGCAACCTACATCAGCATGACTATACAAAATGACCTGATAGAATGTTGTGGAGAGATGTAATAAAGAATAAAATTTTAAACAATGTTCATAAATCAAAATTATTTAGTATTTTAGCTGATGAAACAACCGATAATAGTATATCTGAACAATTTTAATTTTGTGTTAGATATTTTGGTACAGATAAGTGTACCGTTGAAGAATACTTTATCGGGTTTACAAAAGTTGAAAACGTTACTGGAGAAAATTCGACTGTTACTATATTACGATTATTGAAAGAATATAATTTAGATATTTCATTACTTAGAGGCCAAGGATATGATGGAGCAGCTAACATGAGCGGTCCATTTAAAGGAGTAAAATCGAGAATTTTAAAATTACAACCTCTTGCTCTTTATACTCATTGTGCAAACCATAGATTAAATTTAGTTTTAAATAAAGCTAGTTCTATTCCTTCAATACGCAATACAATTGGAATAATTACAAATATAAATAATTTTTTAAGAGAATCTGCTATAAGAACAAATCATTTAAGTTCAAAAATAACAGAGCTTTTACCTACTCAAAAAGCAGTTAAGGCTAAAAAATTATGTGATACTCGTTGGGTCGTGGTATATTTTTAAATAAATTTTACAAGAATGATTATTATGCCTCTCCTGTCAAAATATTCTGGATCCGCCGTTGATCATGAACAACTTTGTTTAGAACTTAAACATTTTTCTAAAGTATATCCAAAACTAAAAATATCTACAATAGAAATAACTAAACAAATCTACCGTCAATTTGATACTGATTCAGATATAGATAACGATGAAGACAAAATATGTTCTGATACAGCATTTTCTTGTGAGTAAGCTTGTACTTTTTATTTATTCTTTAATAATTGTATTAATATTATTTTTTTTAAATTTATGTTTGATTTCAGATAATAACAAAAACATCATACATGACACTAACAATTTCCTACCATATGTATATAAACTGTTATACAATTTAAACATGCATGTCTCAGCTTATACTCAATTATGTGCTTCATATGAATTTTTTCTTACATTGTCAGTCACCGAGGTAAACTGTGAGAGAACTTTCAGCAAACTAAAACTTGTTAAAACAAGACTTAGGGCTAATATGAGTCAAGATAATTTAGAAGCACTTTTAATTATGTTCATCTGTTGTATATAATCGTGACATTGTGATTTTTTTATTGTTTTATATGTTGCTTGCTGTTAACTGATCTTCAAGTCAAGTCAGTAGTGTTTATGGAATATATGAAATAGTTCATCTCTTATAATATAACTATAAATTATTATGTACATAATGTTTTAAAAAATTAAAAAAAGATTATTGTTTGTACAGACTTGTTTTCATTAGATTATTCTAAAATGACCAATTCCATTTATTATCTATTTCTCTAATAACTAATTAATTTATATTATGTTTTGTATTTAATTTTGGTTTTAATGGATACTAAACATTGAATGTAATATAAATAAAACTTAAGTAATTACAACTATTCGTAGGTATTTTATTTTATTGTTATTATGATTTTTGTCTGGCTTAATAATTAAATTTATGTTTGATTTAACTTTTGTTGAATGACTTAATTAATAGCTAACCATAAACTATGAACTAGATTTTAATGCTACGTCTGTTTTCCTTTAGTTAAAATTGTGTTTAATAATAATTTTAGATAAATTCTGTCCTTCGTACATACAAGTAGTAGTTAAAGGATGTGGAAATGTAGAAATCAAATATAGTAAGACACATAGAGGGCATTACAACGAAGTAAAATATCTTCCCACTCCTAAGAAAGTCTAAGAAACAATTGCTGGTAAATAGTGTCTTTTAAGTATGACAATTATGATAATTGATAAGAAATACTATATGATAATTGATAAGATATTTGCTCTTGTGCTGTCTCTAGACGCTCGTGAATAGCATTATCCTGGCAAATTGAAGATCTTTTTATGCTGTAAGTGTTAATGCTAAAATATTGATGCTGATCACGAATTAACCACCAACCAGCTAGAAAAGTTGTTCAATTATTTAAATTAGTTATTTTTATACGTTATCAGTTTTTTTATACAGCCGGTTATTAGATTATCTGCTCTTATCAACAGCGTATTTATGTTATCACAAATAGAAGACAATAATACATATTATGTATCAAAACATTGTTTTTTTTTTTTTATTAAAATTGTGTATATGTGGATGATTCACATTTGTTTTGCCTAAAAATGTCACCTAAGTTTTTTGTATAATATATCCTTTTTAATATTTCGTCCGTTTTACATTTATCCTATGGTGCTAATAGTACTGGGTTTATTTCTTATAGATCAATGGTTTACGATTGTAGACACTGATTAAACCGAGGAATACAGTTTTGTTTTAACCATCATTATGGCATACCATACATTAAGACAAGAATATATGCAGATGCCACCAGTGACTAGGGCTTACACGACAGCCTGTGTGTTAACTACCTTAGCTGTTGTAAGTTGTTCTTTAAAATTGAAATATTAAATATGCATAACTAATATGAATATTTTGATTTTACTTTTAGCAGTTAGATGTAGTTTCTCCATTTCAATTGTACTTCAATCCATTATTAATTTTAAAACAATTTCAAGTATGTTGCTATTCATCAATCAAGATAATAGTTTAATTTTAATTTAAAATAATGTTTTCTCTTTTTCAGATATGGAGATTGATAACCACCTTTTTATTTTTTGGAAATATTGGTTTTAATTTTCTTTTCAACATGATATTTACATATCGTTATTGTCGTATGCTTGAAGAAGGCTCATTTCGATCTAGAACAGCTGATTTTGTAATGATGTTTTTGTTTGGTGCTACTTTAATGATTGTATCCTTTTAAATTATTTTATTTTTTTTTAATATACAATATTCTATTCAAAATGGAAATAAATTAAAAACAGCAAGATACTGGAGTTTACAAATTACCATTGAGAACATATAAGAAAAAGATGACTTTTTAGTTTAAATAAATAATAATTTTATTCTGCCTATTTTACATTTATTTAATTAATTTGATTTTTATTGAAAAATTTTATTTTATTTTTGACAACAAATTTTAAGCACTTAGAATCAATAGCTACTAAAGCATGATTAAGAACTTTATTTGAGGCATGTTCTTCAATTTAAAATGATGGTGGGTGTCTCAGGGTTTGGAAAGTTCAATGTTATTGAACTATGAGAGATTTCAAAATTGATTTTGAAGAGACAATAACACAGCTTGGAAGATCATAATAGTTAATAATAGTTAATAATTGCATTGTTATTTTAATAAATAAATTATCTTCAAAAATAGTTAATTATATATATTTTTCTTGTATGTGGTGGTGGTCTGACAATCAATTATTATTTCTCATTAGTGAATTAAGTTATGCCAAACTACTGATAGTAACTATTGATAGATATTTTTTTCCAGATTTAGTGCTATAACTATTTATTAATTTTGCTTAACCAATTATAATATTATTAGGTTTGGGCATTTTTTATCAACTTATTATTTCTAGGACAAGCATTAACAATTATGTTAGTGTATATTTGGTCTCGAAGAAATCCTTATGTCAGAATGAATTTTTTTGGTGTATTAAATTTTCAGGTAAATTTGTATATGACTTATAGTAAAATAGTGCTGAATGTATTAATATAATGGTGTGCTCAATATTTTAAGTTGGAAGGAGGGAATAAAAATTTTAGTTAATTTAAATTTACTTTGTTGTGCTCAAACAAAATTATAAATGTTAATAAAATTCAATTTGATCAAATTTAAAAATATAGTTGGTTCCTTTGTTATCTAAGTCTAAGTAATATTTATTTTTTTATTAATTTATTATTCAAAGATTATTTTTTGGAAACTATAATGAATTCATGTTTGCATAAATTACATGGGATAACTAAAGGTTAGGAGTAAATCTGTGAGTAAATTGCTGATATTTGCTATTTATTCTATTTGTTGCTAAATTTATTTTTGTTAATAGTTATAATATTTTATATTTTATGATAAATACTTCTATTATTAATGTATGTTTTACATTTTTAACACAGGCTCCATACTTACCATGGGTGTTACTTGGTTTTTCAATTCTATTGGGAAATACACCATGGGTAGATTTGATGGGAATTGCTGTTGGTCACTGTTATTACTATCTAGAAGATGTGCTTCCTCAGCATAGAGCTAATGTTAAAGTTATTAAGACACCCCAATTCTTGTAAGAACTTCAAAATGCAATATTTTGTTTGCAAAAAAAAAATTATTATTCATATTATAAATTAAAATTTTTTTACAGCCATATTTTTAAGTTTCATTATTCATTTTACTTCATGGCGAAGAGAATACATTTTTTTTAAACTTTTCTTATTATTAATTAAGAACCAGCTTTTTGAAAGCTGATACATCTAATTTTACTTTTTTAAGACATTCTCCCCATATTTTTTTTTGTAACACCTGTATAAATATTTATTTTATTTAATAGAAAACATCTTCTTGATCCTGCACCAGAGGAAGATCATGTTCCACCTCCAGAATTTCGTCCTGGAGGGTTTAATTGGGGAAATGGAGCCGAAGTTCCACCTGAAGGTCACCAAAATAATTAAATCAATGTGTGTTATATTGAAATTTGTTGTTTTTAACTGTTAATTCTAAAATGTAAATAATAATTGTAATATTAAAAATACATTTAACCTATTTTATAGGTAATGTGTATGAATATTTATTCAAAAACCAGATTATGGTACATTTCCTATTATTTTAATTATAATTTTCAGGAAATCAATTAAGTTTATGTAAATTTTACATTAGTAAAAATTATAAAAACAATACAGGGTTTAAATAGAAAATGTATGACAACATTTTTAAAACAATATTACACATTTATTAAACATGATATCTGGCAAATAAAATATCCAAATATTAAAACTATATACATATATTATAATATGTATGATAATTATTTTTTAACTAGACAAATATGTATGTACATACATTTATATATATATTGCATGTTATACACACATATTTCTTTAAATGCTTTAGTTAATATAAATAATGTTATTAAAGGTATTAATACAATGTAATATTTTACAAATTATGACTAGATTTTACAATAAATTGTTCCATTTTTAAAATAAACAATGTTGAAATATATGGTTTTAAATGTTTTGAGTCATAATATTAATAACTAAACTTTGAATAAATTTAATTATTCATTATTTTAAACATAATATATATTCTACAACACCCTGTAACACACAACTTTGTGATTATTATACTTGCTTTTGATGGGTCATAAAAAAAAAAATATATATATATATAATTATATTTACAACAGTTAATTTCATTTTATACAGAATGCACATAATAATTTAACATAGAAAAAAAAATATATGGAAAATTAAAGAAAAAGCTATAAACAATACAATTTAAACAGATATTTCATAGTTTTTATCATAAGTACTTTTTCGATCGGGGCTTCCACCATCAGTGCTGTTACCTCTGTTAATTGACATCTCCATGGCATCATGATCTAGTGCTCTAGCAAAAGACATGGGTCTTCTAGTTTGTACAGGAGGAGGTTTTTTCTTGCCAACAGGTGAAGGCTGAGGTGGATAAACAGGAACTCCTCCTCGAACAGGATAATAACTTTTTGTAGTTGGACTAGTAGGATTAGATCTATAATCATTATGTGCTGCACAATAGTTAAATGTAGGTGCTTGTCTTGGAACATAGTAAGAACCAGTTGTACCAGGAGAGTCTTTCCATGTATATACACCTCTTTGCGGAGACCCAGCTAACTCTTGAATATTATCTACAGTATTATTTATACGTGGATAAGAAGGTGGACGTTCATGGTCACGTAGAATATCACCTTCTGATAAAAACCGACGTTGTGGACTACGTTCTTGATATTCATAATGTTTAGAAGAACCAACTCCTATAAAATCTGGTCGTTTTACTTGAGTTGGAGTTCCTGGATTTGATCTGAAATATAATACAACAAAAATAAGTATATATCGATCCATGTACCTATTTTATCAAAAATAAAACAAAATTAAAATATTCTAAAGAAATTTTCCAATTTACAAGAGTCTAACAATGATCCTGTGGTGGAGAATACTGTGATTTCCATCACCTACTCATAAATTGTCAATCTCTATCTATCCAAAGATCTCAGCTAAAGATTCTCTTTTTCATCTCTGGTATTCATTTTTCCCTTATTGACGCTCTTTCAACCGACAATACTAATATAATCAAACATACGCTAAATTAGGTCTCCGAATTTAAGAGTGTGAGCTTTACCAACCTTAATTTATTTTAGATTCATGTACATAATTGTCGAGATATCATAATGTAACGTTAAAATCTCATTAAAAAAAAAAAAAAAAACAATGATCATAACTGCAAGTTATGAAATAAATTAAATTTAAATTAAGTTAAATAAAATGTAAATATTAAACAAAAAAGTTCCTATTTTGTTATTATTATGTTAAATAAATATAATTAAATGTGTTTGGTAAAATGATTTTTATAATATAATTTTTAAACTATAATAAATACATTTTTTTACACATTTTTATAGTGAATTCTTTATAGTTTTTAAAGCATTTTTGCATTTTTTTAGAGCATTAAAATTATAGCACTAATAATAAACAATGATTTAGTGGGAAAACATTTTTTAAATATTATCAAGTTATTTACCGTCTTAAGGGGCTGGATAGTGTCAAAGGTGTAGGCACTCCAATAGCTTTCATTCTCTGCTGCATAGTTGGACTCTGCATGATGATGTTGGACTGGCGATTTGTATCTATCATAGTTTCTCTTGACAAACTATTTCCCATATCACTCATTCTTATTTCAAAAAATAATTTTAATTAATTAATTTAAGTTAATGCATTACATATGAAAAAATTAACTACCTAGGTCTTGATGGATGTGGAGCAGTGTATGTCATATAAGTCATTCTAGTATTGTCTGTTGAATCATATGATGGTAAGTAAAAATTGTTTTTTGAACCTTGACGTTGTAGTGGAGGTGTTGGTTCACAGTCTTGTGATTGTGAAGCAGTTAATTCAATTTCTAATTCCGAACAGTCTCTACCTGGTGACATCTAAAAAAATAATTACATAATAAATGAAAAGCATACAAAAAAGGATTAATACAATTTTTCTAATTACATATAAAACTTTTTAGGGGAATAAATTTATATAAAAGAAAAAATATAGTTTTGATAAGAAAATGACTTGATTAATCAATAAATATGGATATGTGTACTGTACAAAAACTAAAATAATTTCCAAGTTCTTAAATTAATATTGAAAAAATTACTAAGACAATAACAATAATATATAAGCCAATTTGAAACACTCAACTATACTCAGCTTACTATCTTATATAACACAAATACATGAAATTTATGGCTATTAAGATTCTAAAAAGTAATTATAAGAAAAGTACCATACAAAAATGATCAATAGCTTACTTAAAAAGAAAACATATATGATTTTATAAAAAACATGAAAAATAAAAAATAATAATGCTTAATTATAAGTATTAATTCCTTTGTATAAAGTATCTGCTATGAAAATTACAACAATTTTTATACATAATCTACATTTGATATGCCTTATAAAATGTAATTTACATTCATTTGAGGTTTATTAATGTACAACAAAATTTTAAATAGTAGTTTTTCATGAATTAATTCATAAAAAAAATTCTCAGGGTCAATTTCTATAATCATCTCATGGTTTTTTAGTGATTTTTATGATAATTTTATTTTATTTATAAATAAAAAACTAGCATTGCTTGTAATTTAATTATTTTATAAATTATTGATAAATGAATACATAAATACATTAAATTGGCTAGTTGCTTATATCTACACAGACCTGACTCAAGGGGTAGGTGACATAGGCCTATGTCTAGGACGGCAATTAATATTTTTAAAAGATTGATAATTTAAAAAAAAAAAAATTACATTTACTAGTACCTACTCATATCAAATTATATGTAGTAAAAAGAAGACTTTAAAAGTTGGTTTGTTTAATTTAAATTAGTAGTAGTTTACTTGTCAACAAATGTATTAAACTAATAAATAGTTAATTTTACGTAAATAAATATAATAAACTCAGAATTTAGACTATTTTAGTATTACTTAAGTAAAAATAATATTTGATATAGTAAGGGGTGGCAAAACTTAAGTTTGCCTAGATGTAAGTAAACGTTTGAGCCTGGTCTGCATCTACACTTATATTCATAACAAATTTAAAGTGCCAAATTTTAATCAAGAAAATAAAAATTAAAATAAATAAATAGATTGTGTAAAACATTTTATATTAATATATACAATTGACATAAAATTATTATTTGGTATATATTGTAATAGTACTTTTATAAAAGACAAGACATAGAATATTCACATAGATTACCATCAAGTGATAAAAAATATAAAATAACATTCTCAAAATAAGTATAACTCTACTCAGTTTTCAAATTATTATTAATTGTGTTAGACCAATATAAATCAATGAGTACATTTTTTTTTTTTTTAACATTTCAATATATGTAAATAATAATGGAATATAAAAAGAAAGAAAAATATTAATTTAAGACCTTAAGAAAACTTATAATTATTATTATTATTACTATATTTTATTATAGTTTAAAATTGAATGAATACTATACAAACCTTATTATAAGTATTTGAAGAATGATGTAAACCATTACTATTATCCAAATAAGTTTTGGTAACAGGTGGTCCACAATTATCTTCTTTGGTCAATAATGGAGGAGGTACATTAAAACTGTTCTGAATTTGTTTTTTATGTTTCTGGTACTTGGAAGCTTTTACTTTTAATAAACTAGTACAGACAAATATTATGATTTTAATGAAAACTTTAAAGTAACGTAAAAAAAAATTATTACCTTGGAAACTGAGGTCCGAATAAAATAATTATACAGTTGACACGACAACCATGTGAAAATGGATTATAACCACCTTTGAACTTTCCAGTGACTTGTTCATTAGTTGTGCGACCACGTGCTACTAATACAGCATGAAATCCAGTCAATCCAAATATTGGTATAAATAAAATAATAACCAACCCACAGAGTATTAAGCTATTGAATTTTTCAAGTTAAGAAAAATTTCTAAAAGTTAAATACAAAATAATGCAATTCAATTACATCTTATAATTAGAGCTCGGATGTTAATGACTTGGCACATATTTTTCGCGCAACCAGAATTATACCCTAATATGATTTATGAAATCTTGATTGCAAACATGCAAACTTATTTTGCATTAAATTCATAAACTAAAAATTGTCCATATTATTATAATTTATCAATAATTACCGTTAATTGTATAATTTTTTTAAAAAAACTTATCGTCAATGGTCCTTCAAGTTTGAAAATATCAACAAAATTATTGTTGTACAGGTAATCCTAATATTTAAAGTGCTTAACCTATGTAAAATTTAACATTAATAGTACGAAAACTAATTAATATTTTATTTCCTATTTATGAGCTGTTTTTTGTAATAAAGTAATTTTAAATACACATTCAAAAGAGTGTACACATTTTTTTAATATTAACTATTTTTTTTGCATATATTTGTTGAAAAGTCAAGTATATTTAATACATTTTATGGCACAAAATTACATATTTGGACATTTTATAATGCATGTTTTTATGAAAACATGTTTTTATAAGTTCTACTTATAACTATAAATAATTCACAAAATTAAAATAGGTAAATATTTAAAAAATTAAAAATAATCGATTAATTTTTTTTTTTTTAATTAATAGCTAAATTTTTTTTAAGAAAATAAGATTTTTAGAAAATGAGAAATTAATTTTTTTAATGCACACATTAAAGTAGATGTTTTCAAGCTTTTTAATATGAGGGTCGCATAAGATATCAAAAGCTCTTACTGGACCAAAATTATAATACAGCTGACGTTGACATATGACAACTTAGAATACTACACATATACTTAGATTATTTAATATTCATTGGGGTGCTGGTTAAAACTTAAAAAGTGGGCCAAAGTTTCTTGATCCATGCATTAAAGTATTGACATAAGAAATTATTGACCAGATACATATATTTTAAAGAACTTATGAATAGGCATAAACTGGGGGGCAATTGTCCCCTAGAATAAATTAGGAGGGGCAGTGTCCCATCTGATATTTAACATACTTTGTTTTGAAATAAGTGCAAAACAGCTGGTTATAGCTATTACTATAACATTTTTTTTAAATCTTAATTTTAAATTTTTTCCTAACATAATGCTAGAAAACGAATACTTTTATTTAATAATATGTAGGTAGTAAAGCGGTGTTTAGCCTCAAACAAACTTTTTGTTTAATATGCAATTATATTTTTGCTCCCTCTTCTAATTAATTTCTAAATTATGCCTATGAACCTATCAAATTTCATAAAAATTATACATAAAACATTTAGTGATTTAATATTACAGAAAAGAACTTTTGAGTACACTTTTTTTTTTTTTTTTATTTAAAGTATAGAATTATTAGGTTACTTAATCTTAATTTTAATAAAACCTCGAGTAAACACAATATTATAATCTTTGTAATATTATTTATATTAGTATTATAATAAAATATAAATATTTAAGTACCAGTGAGAAATATTAGTGAACAAAAAGGATACGATACCAAAGTATCAATGTCTCCTATTTTATCTTTATGATATAGAATATACCAACAGCAAACACTAAATATAGATGCCATATGTATACTAAGCGATATGAGAAAAAAAAAGAAATAGCGATAATTGCGACGACCAATACAATTATTTACCCATGGACAATGATGATCAAACGTCTACAAAAAAAAGAAAAAAAAAGGGACATAAATACAATGTAATTAACAATTTATTTTATAACTAGAACATACTTCTATGCAACAATTACAAACACTGCAGTGAGAACATCTTGGTGGCCTATAAAATCTACATGTAGAACACCATTTCATTCGTACTTGTATAGTGTTCACCTCTGTAGATTTATATAGAGGTGACTGAAAATCATCACCTGTATCTTCATCTTCTGGAGCTAGAATGTTAATATATTTGTTAAACAAATAATGAATTTAAAATGCTAAAATAGACAAAACTGGACTAACCTTTAGGTATTACTCCAGGGTCCATAAAAGTAGCTAATGTAAAATTCGCTATAACGAAAAATGTCACAACGCCGTGAACAATTGGTACCCAAGGATATAATTGAGCAAAAAATCGGCATCTAATAAAAATAGTTTACAATCCAATCGAATGAATAAGTATATAAAAAAGTAATAAGGAAGAAATTGTTTGGCACTTACGGGTAATAAAAAAAAGCTCCAGTAGTCCCAAGCAGCAATATCCATGCAAATGTTGCTGGCAAATATTTTGTGTGCAACCCACATTTTGGCATTGTGCAGATTACTTCTATTTACTCAAAAATAACTGTACTTTTATGAATTTTAAGCAGCATTCTTTGTTTCGTATAAATCAAGTAAAAGTTATGGTAAATAATAATAATAGTACTGTAGAAGTGCATAAAAATTAAGTTTCCCCATTTTGTTCGTTACCAGGTTCTGACAGTTCTACTTATCCATCAAAATCTGAACTATGCGAAAGAGCTCGATGACACTTAAACGCAATCATTGATAAACAATACACAATACAAATGCGATCGGAAAATATGAAAATATATTCAAAATTCTTTGAAAAAAATAAAATTAAAAATTTACACTTCTAATTTTTGTGATAATGTGGTTTTGTCAAACAGTGTAGCCACAATCATAGCACTATCTACATAATAATTTTTTTGATGTGCCCCAAAGATAAAAACTTTTTATCCGTGATGGGTCCAGAGGTTTAATCTCTTTTCTACGGACAAGAAATTGTTCTAAGAACTATGGTTTCGATAAATGTAGTCTAAAATATCTGAAAAGTATTGACATCTGGTTATTATCTACAACGAATATAGTTTACAATCTTCAAAAACCATGTCCCTATGATAATGTTAATACTGATATTACCCACATGAATAAAAACCGGCTTTACTTTCGGTCTCACTCTAGATCTTGGTTTAGACTTTAAGGTTTCGATAAAAAAAAAAAGTTCAACACATGATTTTTATTGATAGTAAATATAATTTCAGTTACACGTAGATAAGGCTATAAAAGATGAACAAACTCAATAATTCACAATGAATGGATAATTTATGAATGTACTTAATAAAATAATAAAAAACTTATTTTAAAAATTAAATAATTTTAATGCCTACTTATAAAATACTTTGTTTTGAACTAAGACATCTTATTAATTAAGCTTATTAAAGCTATGACTTTTTCTAAATTAAATTTATCTTTTATAATTTTTAAAGCTCTTTCCGAAGAAAATGAACCAGTAGATCCATATGTAAATATATTAAGAAGCCGTGGATATGAAGCTTACTTAGTACCTACTTTAGAATTTGAATACCATAATTGTGATGTGCTCAAAAAAAAATTGCAAAATCCACAAAATTATTCAGGTAAATATTAATTATTATTGTACATATATATTAATATGTCTATGCATATTAATCCATATTTTTAAGTGTTACTTTGACCACCATATTTGTATAATACATTTGTTATACTTATAATTGGATTTATAAAGTATTTCATATTATATCCTTGGAATTTTGCTGATTGGCATTCAAAATATAATTTTCGCAACAACATTCTCTTGTATGTATTGATTTTGTAGACATTTATCTTGATATGCATATAGTTATTTATGTATAAGTAATATTAAAGAGTTATGAAATAAAGTATTTGATATACTTTTCATTTTAGTTATGTTTATGTTTTTAATGTTATGAGTTTTATTCAAATGTATATTTTTAAATTAGTTCATATTTTAAATAAACTTTTCATTGTCTGAATTTAGAAACCATTATGCATTATGTTATATAGGAGATATTATTAAATAATAGATAAAATTTTAGTACTCATGGTTTTTTTTTTACTTTTATTGTTATAGGTAGTTATATAAATATGAGTTATCTCATTGTTAATGTAAATTATTGTAATTTGTTAAAATAACAGTATTTTATTAAAATTTTTTTTTCAATAAGTGAATAATGTTAAAATAGAGGAAAAAATGTTATTAGTTATCTATTATATAAAATATTAGACCAAACTTAAATTATCAATTGTCAATAGTTCTAGTGTATTGCTGTAGACCTAGAAATTCAGCTTCAAATGTAATTTTATCCTACAGTCCACTTTAAATGGAATTATATGTAACCTACCCAAGTTTTGTTTTCAATTTTTTACTATATTTTGATTTAGGTATGGTTATAACTAGTCCAAGATGTGCACGGGGAGTCATAAAGTGTTTGGTTGATGGTAAACTTGATGAAAATTGGCGTAAAAAACCTATATTTGTTGTTGGTGAAACAACATCTCGGCTATTAACTAATGAACTAGACATCGAGCCAATTGGAGCAAATAGTGGAAATGCTATGGCTCTAATACCAATTATTTTAAAATGTAAAGTGTTCTCTTAAAATAAATACTTAAAAACTAAAGAATTTTAATACAAAGTTAAAATTTTAATTTTAGATGAACTTACCAAATCATTATTAGCACCATGTGGCAATATGAATATTAATATATTATCAGATAATATAAAAACTGTTGAATTTGAGAACATAGAAGTTTATCGAACTATACCACATAAAAATTTAAAAACAAATTTGGATGTGGTTTTGAGTAAAATTAATGATCAAATAGGAGTTGTATATTTTAGTCCTTCTGGTTTCCGTGCAACATGTGATTTCATGCCAAAACAATTACTTAATCAAATACATGTAAGTATAAAAAATATACAAAACTTTGTTTATATAATTTTTTAAGTAAATGTCATGTTGCACCTAAACACTTTATTATTTATAACCTAATAAAAATGCATCCTTGATTACTGGTTTTTAATATTCTTCATAATTTATAAAGCATTCAAATTTGCACTGTATGTTGTATCTTTTAAATTAATATGTTATTAGTGTATATTCTTAAAGGACTAACACTGGATTAAAAATGATTATTATGTATTTATGCTGAATAATTTTTTTTTTAAAACAATTTTAATTCTTATTGTTTATGTATTAAGATTTCTCATTTTTAGTATAATTCAATTAGTAAATTATCCATTGTACTTAATTTAAACAAAAAATTAAAATAATTCTTCTATTGCTCAAAGCAAATAAAGTAGAACCCCTCTCGTCCATTCTTGGATAGTCCACCTCTTCGGTTGATCTGACCATAGTATTATTGATATTAATACTTTAAAAATAAGTAATTAAGTAAATTATTAATAATTAATTAAGTAAATAATTTAATAAATACATTTAATACAATTATTTTTTCAAATATTTTTGTATATTCTGATAATCCGACTGGTTTCAAGTTCCGACCACATTCCCAGTCCCGAAGGTGACGGATTAGAGGGGCTCTACTGTACATTTAATATTATTAGCCTTAAAATATATTATTTGTTAACTTTTACAGATATTTGCCATTGGTCCTACCACAGGAGCTGCTATTAATGAAGCTGGATATATTTTAAGTGGAATATGTGAAAAACCAAAACCAGAGTCTATGATCAATATGATAGATACATTTATTGAAAATACTGTTTTACCAAAATGAAGCATATAATCATTGATGATTTATATTATTTATTATTTATGACATAACTTAATTAATTATTTGTTTATAATTATCTTGTTTTTTTTTTTTTTTTTTGAAAAGATAATTGTTTAATGACAATTGGTTTTGTGTTCATTCCAATTAGTTACTTGACATTCTCTAAAAATATTTAAGTTATTTTAAAAATCTAGTTAGTTTATGTTTATAGCTATAATAATTACCTGCTACAGTACCACTGTTTTTTGCACTTTGAACACTTATTTTTTGCTTGTTGTTTACAATTAGCACACAAATATTTCTTAGTTTCAAAATTATCTATATGTTCATATGTTTCACTTAATCTAAAAGAAAAATATTAATATTTAATAGTTTGTACATTTATGGTAGTCACACTTACGATTTAGCTATATCATATGATTCACTACCAAATAAATAGGTGGATTGTGCTCTAGCAATTTTTTTCCATCGTTTTGCATAACTGTTTAAAATAGTAGATCTTATCTAATAAGAATACATAATTGGTACATGAAATATAATTTTTTCTATATTTGATAGCTGTTTAAATTTCTTAAATTACTAATATCTTACTTCAGCATTTATTTCCATTATCAGAGGTCTTTTTGATATTCCTGAAATTTCTGATAGACTCAACTGATATAAGCTTTGTTTTAAGTGTATTAATGGAGGAATTTGATCCAATAGACAATCATTAAGTAAATGTTGTAACTGTACAATAATAACAACTTTACATTAAAAAATAACAATTTTATTTATAAATAATTTTGAAGTAAATTGATGATGTATCAAGAAAAAAATATAGATAATTTAGTTTTCCAAATGTATAAGTATATAAATGTGACAGGAAATGTAATTATACAATACCCAGTTTATCGAAAGCACTGTTAATAAAAAAAACCAGTCTATTATTTAGTATGTAGTAACTAATTTATTTTAAATGAGGTTGAAGTAACTAGACTATTTGTGTTCTAATAATTAGTTTTATAAGGTAATCTGGTTAGTAGATGGAATCAAAATTTCTAAAGGCTAGGTTAGAACTGACAACTATGCATTTGAACACAACCACCTTAATCTCACTTGGAAACAATGCACTCCCAAAACAATGTATTATTAATTATTTTGTCATTTAAATGAAAGTGAAACTATAAGATACACAGATAAATTCCTAATCTGAACAATAATCTTTATGCATAAATTACATTTTACTTTATTTTCTAAATAAAATAAAATATACTTATTATGTTTATACATTGTACAATTATATTATATAATAATTTTATAATCAGATGAAAAAATAAGAAAGTGATATTAGATGTTATTTAATTAATTTACCTGCATTAGATGTTTTTTTCGAAATTGGGTAATTTCATAATTATTCCGTAATTGCTCGGAAGTGAAAAATTCATGCAAGCTTAGCCATAAATGAGCTTCTTGTTTAGGTAAAATATTGTTTGTTTCATTCATTATTTTCCATGAATTATCTGTTCAAAGTGAAATTTAATGCTGATTATAATTTTACTAATTAATTAATTTTTTGTTATTTAATAATTATTTACATAAATACCATCAAATATGTATTTTTTATTGTTGTCCAATTTCACCCAAGGTTTTATATTCAATAAATGACAAATTAACATTGGCACATCATTGTTGGTTGTCATTCTTGTTGTCACAGATATAGATAAGCTTTTATAAAAATATAAATGTATATATTAACGAATTTTCTGATATTCTTACATATTAAATGTATTTCAAATTATTTTATAAATATATATATGGTAATTATGATATTCAAGTATTTAACCACGAATAAGATTTATAAAAACATAAATAACTGGTATTGAACTTAGTTTCAGTATACTTTTACGTTTTTATGTGTAGTAACATGTTAAACATTATGCCAATACAACCAATTCCCACTTCAAATTGAATTTTGTTTTTATGTTGAATTATTTCATCTTCTAGTTGAGTGTCTATATTTTCCATTGAAATTTTAAAATTATTTGTACTACTAAAATCATTAAAATCTGATAATAATTATAATACATACAAAATAATTATTTATTCATCCTTACTCGACGGCTAAATGCGTGATAGAAAGTATAATATGATCAAAGAGATCTAAAGCATAGTTTCCAAGTGCTTGAACACCATCTTCGTAAAAAAATATTTTTTGTAATAATCCAACTGCTACAGTTTCATGAAATAACTATAAAAAAATCATGAATTAAAATAACATTTTTATGCTTACAATTTTATTTAAAAATAGTATCATTTTACTGTGGTGAATTCCTTAAATAACTTAATTCCTTATTTATAATGACAACAATATTAATAGGACATTAACATTCATTGTTATATATTCGTAAAATTGTGAATTGTCATTTCTAAATCTAAGCTAGTACCTAGGTAGTATAACTATTACCCGTTAAATCCTTATTAATTTTCAGACTTATTTTTAATCTTATTATAAATATAAATAATCCTTTACTCTTATACACCTAGCTTATGCCTAAACTATATAGGTAGGTACATTATATGTCATAAATTCCAATGGTAGATCTAAGATTATTATCCAAATTACTTGGAAGAAAGTTAAATAGGTTCTTAGATTGAGAGTTCATGTATTTTCTTCACTAGTAATTTTTTGTTCTGATACCAAATATATTAATTAGTGATTATATTTTATTATGCTAGGCATGGGCGTAGCTAAAATTTGAATCAGGGAAGGGCAAAAACATAAAATGATTAGTGTTGAACTTGTAATTCAAATAATCTACAGATAGACTATTGGATAACACATATAACGTCAAAATGATTACACGTGTATATATATCACTCGGTCCCACTAAACTATTTTTAGAATTATATCTTATTTAATTTTTGATTTTAATGTAAAACTTACACGTTTGGTATAAATAAATATAATTCAGTTTGAGGCGCAGGGGTGGGCAAGTGCCCCCCCTGCCACACCCTCGCTACACCCATGATGCTAGGCATTTTAATTTCTCTCCGCCTAAAGTACTACTTAACGATAATATTCTTAGTTGGTGCCGACTTAAAAAATTAAATTTAAAAAATAAAAATAAAAATCATTTTAAACTACAATTATTATTATATTGTATACTATATTTTATAAATATAAAAGAATTATCGATTTTGACAAAATTTAATGTAAGAGTAAGTTTTCAAGTTATATTTATATTTTAATGAATCTTATTTAATTTAGACCTATTATAAACTATATTTTAGATTAGAGACTAAATTGCTACAGTCAGTATTAATATATACTGTTTAATATTTACATACATTTAAAAGAAGTTATCCCCATCAAACTCTAATAATACATTTTATGATAGGTTCATGTTGGACAATCCTCATCAAATAACTTAGACCGTTTTTTGTTCCACTACTTATAGTTCCATAAGAATTAAATATTTAGTTAAACTTGGTATCTAATAAATTATTCGTATATAGGTATTGCAAGGATACAAATTACTAGATTGAGAAATGTAGAGCAGTAAATATATGCGAACTAGGTACTAATTAATTATAAATATTAATAATATAGGTAAATTAACGTACAATAAAGTATAATGTGAAATTTTGTTGAGGATTTGGTATAATATGAAGTAATTCTGGAAGTACTTTTTCTCTCCATACAGAAATACAAATAGCTTCATGTACAAGTATAGGAACCTATATTTAAAAGTGTAATACTATTGTATAAATCAAATATAAATTAACAGTTATTTATAAGTACTTTCCCATAGCTAATAAGCTGATTCTTAATATACTCTTCTCGATTTCCAGTAGCTTCCAGTGTAGCTTGTTGGTTAAGCTTTTGCAAACGATCATGGCTTTCGTACCATCTACAATATGACATTATTTTAAACATTTTATTGCACTATACAATAATTATAATTAAAAATAATTTTACTTTTTCGATCCCAGCTCATTTAGTTTCGATTCCTTAATATGCTCAATGTAGAAATCAATTTCATTTTGAGATATGATATTCATATTGCGTAATTTGATTTATATAAATTTATAATAAAATATAATAATTTACAAATTATAAGTCTTTTGAGGGTTTGATCAATATTTTTTCCTTAGTTACCAAACAACTGTTATAAACTCCAAGTACTAAGTCTAAAGTTCTTTGCTCTTAAAATAAATATTGTAACTACTAGTTTCAGTTGTAGGCAATCATCAAGTTCTAAATTATTTATAATAATAATAAATATGAACACATTAAAATATAAAACAATATAATAGGTAATTGATTATAAATAACTGTTAACTATAAAACAGCTAATACAATCGTTTATTATTTTTTATGGTGCTGTTACTTATTTTAAATATTAAGTTTTATAGTATTCTAACATATTTAATTATTTTTTTAATAATTATTTTCTGATCATGGTCCAAAGCTGAAACTAGAAATCATAATAATAGGGTCTAGTACATTTCGCCGCCAACTATTCGCCGAAATTATTTCTCTGCAATCTTATTTTTTTCGTACAATGGCAATAAAAAAATGTTGGTTGGCCATATAATTTTGGAATTTTGATATAATGTTTTTCACACATTGTTTTTACTCGTGTGAAAAATTTTCAAAAATCCGCAGACATAATTTTTAAAAATAAGTGTTTGAATTTGAAATTATGATAAAAATAACGATAAACATTCCGATATGTATACTTATAAAGGATTTAAAAATGTAATATAATTAAGTTGCTCTTTGCAGCAAACTAAAAAAGTTTACCGGAGCAGCGGAAAATAATGTTATAAGCGTTATAAAATTATATTTTGATGAAATCTAGTGTTTCCGGATGGAAAAGTACTGTATTGTGCACTATAATATGACCGAAAAACCTTCAAAATGCCATACCCTAAAATATAAAAAGAAAAGAAAAGTAAATCAAAATTTAATTTATTATCTTTTACTGTCAGCTATTTTTTATTTTTTGAATTAGTATCTGCAATAATAATCTTATGCATATATTTATTAAAAAAAAAAAATGATCTTCTGTTAACAGTTTAAAAAAATCGGGACAAAAAACAAAAATGTAGCAATTTTTCTTATAATATATAAATAAATACTATTTTTCAGTCAGTATAAATAATATTTATGATAAATTCTAAATAAATCATTATATTATTATGTTCATTGGCAAACAATAGTACCAAAACTTCGAAAATGATACTTCTAAAAAAATCTAAAATACTTTAAATATGCAAAAAATAACAAAATTATTAATTATTATTATTATTATTACAATACTAAGCAAATATACAATAAATATGTGTATATTATGTTATAATCAATTTATACCAATTTTACACATTTTTAATAAAAAATTAGTTCAAATGAATTCGAATAATTCAGTTAATTCACGATTTTGGATTTTATCGCAGAAACACTTGATTTCATCAAAATATAATTCTCTAATATTTTTAAATCTTACATAAGTACCTATACATATTGGAATGTTTATCAATTTTTAACTACCAAAAGTAGGTAGATTTTGTGATTTTTATCAACATTTCAGTTTCAAACGCTTATTTTTAAAAATTGTGACTGCGGATTTAGAAATTTTTTCACACGAGTATAAAAAATGTGTGAAAAACATTGTATCAACATTTCAAAATTTTATGGCCAACTAATATTTTTTTATTTACGTTATAAAAAAAAAAAAATAGTATAGCGGAGAAACGATCGCGGCAAAACAGTCACGGCGAATAGTCAGAGCCGTCCGAAAATGAAAATAAAAGGGGAGGGGGGGGGGGGAAATAATATGAAAAATGCCGACTACAATTTTTTTACTCAGTATGGATAGTATAATTTACTATATGTAGTCGTATTTTTTCGAAAATACCAAGAGGGCCATTGCCAGATATGGGAGCTACATTGGACAGGGAGAGGTGGAAAGGCATTTTAAAAGCGGCGATGGTCCTCAATGGATCGCTATAAGCCTAAGAAGAAGAAGAAGTCGTATTTTTACTTCTTAACATATATATATATATATATATATATAATCATATTTTATATTGTATAATAAGTAGTTATATAAATTTTATTCTTGTATACACTGTATTACGAAATATGTAATACTAGTTTTCCGTAAGTAAAATTATGTCCTTCTTAGATATAATGAAACAAGTCCGACTGCCGACTGGTGTTTTCATTGGAGGTGTGAGGCACCCCTCTCCACAAAGAACACAGTTCGGGACGGCCCTGTGAATAGTCCGGCGGCGAAAAGACTAGACCCTAATAACGGTACATACAGTGCCGTATTTATGCCTAGGGCAGCAAATTTTGTAAGAAATAAAAAAAATCATATAAATATTTTATGCATTTATGTAACTGTGTAAATTAATATTATATAATATTTAATAGTAATATGAATAATATTTAATATTATAGTATAGATATCTGTGTGTAAAATATACGGGCGCATGACACTGAAAATGTCAATAACACGAAATCAATTTTCTCGTAATGTGAGCTATAAAGATAAGATACCTTCCTAGGTACATAAGTTGTTCTTAAAATTAATTACAATAATAATATAGTATATATAGAAGTTGGCTAGAGATATTGTGTATCCACATCGCACACGACGAATTAGAATAGATAATTATTTGTTTTGTTTATAATGACTATTGACCTAATTTCTTTAAAATTAAATAAATTTATTAGAAATAATTACAAGATTTTTTTTTCTTGGGGTAGGTAGGGGTGGCATAATTAAAAGGGATTGTTCTAAATCCGGCCCTGGGTACACACATAAAGTACTCGGTACTTACAACTTTAAGTTTAATATTTATTTATCAGTTTTATATTTAAATAATACAATAGTAATTGGTATTATAAGTTTTATATTTTTCATTATAATTATAACTAGCCACTGTTATTTCCCACAAATTCAAGGAAGTTTAATACTAAAAAGATAGAACTGCAAAACACTATTAATCTAAGAACATACTACCATTGATAATTCTATAATCAATGATATTACTAAACACTATTATTAAGAATTTTCACCATTCTAAATCTAAGCTATTTATACCATAAAGGTTTATTTAAAAATAATATATCTTAAATTATGCTATATACCAGTGGTTTTCAACCTTTTTGGATCCACGGCTTCTTTTGATTCAGAAATAAAATATACGGCTCCCATACGAAAATTTAATTTAATTTAATAAATAAATTTACATTTTTGAATCTAACCTTACTTAATGATGAAATAAACATGTTATTGTTAATAATAGGAAACATATTTATGAAATATATTATTTTACAATTAAACATTAAAAAAATATTAATAGTTTTAATATTTAATGGGACGGCTGTACTTGTTTTTGTTGTATAATATTATCAAACTGTAACATACATTTTTAAAGCGAGATTCTCATTTCTTTCTTAGTAATCAGTCTTGATATATATTTAGTTTTAATAACTGCTAAGGCCTAAAACCCATTTTACATAAATATGGAGAAACAAATGGAATCAAAGTCCTTTAGCTTTATTAGCTTAGCTACCATCGGTTACTGCTTCTTTATAGCTACTCAAAATTCTGGTAAAGATAAAAATAAAAATTTGGATTTTGTTACTGAATCTGAGGATAAGTCTAATAGTAACTGATACATAAAAACCTGTTCTTGTTCAGAAATTGTTAGTTCTCACGGTAGAGTAGTAGTTAAAGGATCTTTAGTCAAATTTTGTTGTTGATCGTCCTCAGAAAAATAATTTTGGGAGTGAACAATAAGTTGTGATAAATGCAGGGGCGGATAGGACCGCCAGGACACTGGGATTTTCCTGGTGGGTCGCTGCTTAAATTGACGAAATTGGGCCGATGAAAAATATTACTATTAATACTATTATACATGTACAATATATACATACATATATACATTTACAAATAAAAATAAATAAATATAGTACTGATAATATATATTTAAATCTAGCTTAAATCTATAAATATCATAGTAAATTCCTTTAAAATTAAGATGAAAAAAGTATCTACAGTAGTTTTACATAATATACATAATTTTAAATGTAATTTTTTTTATGTATTATTTTAATTGAATGATCAAAAATTAAATTTTATTCAAAATTTCGAGCGCAAATTTATTTTCTTTAATGCATATTTTAACATATCAGTGCATATAATTCCGTGTTATAATGATAACTGATTATTCAGATTTAAATTATCATAGTCACTAATAAAACCCCACGGTAAAGTTGTTTACTGATATATCATGTTTTTCCATAATAATTATACGCGAGCCATGTAAATAGTATAATATTGCAAAAAGGTTGCATAACCAGGTATGCTTCAAAACGAATTAAAAAGAAAAGGAGGTGCAGAAAATAAAAGAGATAAAAATCGTAGAGTTGTTAGAAAAGAGTAAAACATGTGTAAAATTGGATAGTATAATATGTATTATAATTTAAAATATTATTTAAGAACATCGAAAAAAAAGGTGGTGATTGCCGGGTTGATTCTCTCAAAGTTGAGTTAATTTTTTAGTTGAAACTTGGATATAATTATGTGGGCTGTTGTATTCTATTTTTCCCGTGCCGGTCAAATTATGCCTATCCGCCCCTGGATAAGTGTTCCATGAATAATAATTTGACAAATTTATTTTATATCTAGTTTAAATTATTTTCATGAAGGAACATGTATAATGTGGGGAAAAAGTCGATTAAAGCATCTTCATCCATTTTGTTCTTCCACAGGGCTAATTTTCTTTTAAAAGAAGTATTTTTTTTGCAAAATGTGAGTCTTGTAGGGATACATTTAGTACATTGAATTTTTAAAAAATATCACATTAGTACAATAGATTTATTAGAAAGATTTCATTTTTAAATTTTTCAAAATTTTTTTTGTTCAATAAGAAAACAATTAAGTTCTTTTTGAACTTCAAATATTATTCTTAAAACATTTCCTCATTAAAGTCAAAGGGATTTGCAATAATATAAAAGAGATGTATGCTCAGCTCCCATGTCTATACAGATTTGTTTAAAACATTTGGACTTTATAGATCGAGTTTTGATGAAGTTAACTATTTCAATGATAGATAGTAAGACTTCATTAAGGCTTGAAATAATAGTTTTTGAAGCGAGCACACATATAAAGGGTGTGTGGACTTACACGGCCTAAAAAAAGATAACAAAATCTATATTATATTACATTTTTATTTTTAGTTTCCACTGGGAACGCGGCTCCCTTGATAAAAACCGATGACGCCCAT